CGTTTAGTGAGTAATAGGCTTTGCTCAGTAAATATGATTTAACAGATGTTTTGAATTTATTTAAGGGTAATTCCAACATATCCTTTGGTATCTTATTGTAAATTTTTATACCTATTCCCATAAAAGACCTATTAACTTTTTCTAAACGATACTTGGGGACAGCAAGTTTGTCTTTAAATCTTGTATTAATATTATGAATATTGCTGTTTTTTGGAAATAAGTCAAGATTTTTATGAACATATAGGATATTTGAATATATAAATTGAGAAGCAACGGTGAGAATATTTGCCTCTTTGAATTTCTCTCTTAATGAGTCACGACTCTTCATACAGTAGATCGCTCGAACGGCACGTTTTTGTAATATGAATATATTTTTAATATCTGCCGCTTTTCCCCATAGTAATATTCCATAAGAGAGTAAACTATGAAAATAACTAAAATAGACTAATCTAGCAGTATCAGTATCAGTGTACTGTCTAACCTTACGCACGGCAAAAGCTGCTGAACTTAGTTTCGCTGCAAGGCTTTGAATTTGTGCACCCCATTTTGTTTTATTATCTAGTGTGATTCCTAGAAAGACAGTAGATTCTATAAATTCCAGAGATTCGTCATTTAATTTAATATTGCAATTAGTATTAAAATTTTTAGACAGAGAGAAATTAACACATTTTGTTTTTTTAGCGTTTAACATAAGATTGTTAGTTGTAAACCAGTGCAGGAGACGCCGCAAAGCACTATTTACATCGTCATAATTATTAGTCATTCTATTAACTTTAAAAATCAATGAAGTATCGTCTGCAAATAATACTATGCCGCATCTATCCTGCATGGCATATGGGAGATCATTAATGTAAACTAGGAATAAAAATGGACCGAGAATAGATCCTTGAGGTACACCCATTTGCACAAGTGACCCGTCAGACGTAGCGTTGCTAACCTTCACTTTCTGTATTCTATCAGATAGATAAGATTTTATTAAATTTAAAGCATTGTCTTTGACGCCATAAAAAGCAAGTTTTTTTAGCAATGTATTATGATCAACGCAATCAAAAGCCTTAGAAAGGTCACAAAAAACACCTATCGCATCCATTTTAGTTTCCCATGCAGCAAATACGTGTCTAAGCAACTCTGCACCTGCGTCTGTAGTTGAACGACCTTTGGAAAAACCGAATTGACTATTGTGGATTAAATTATTTAAATTGAAATAACTGACAAGCTGCATAAGGATTATTTTTTCAAAAATTTTACTGAGTGCTGGGAGTATAGATATAGGTCTATAATTTATTGGGTCACTCCTATCTCCAGATTTAAAAAGCGGTATGATTTTACTAATTTTCATTATGTTAGGAAATTTACCTTCATCTATACATTTATTGAAAATAAAAGCAAAAGAGGGCGCAATAATTTCCATTATACTATCTAGTATTTTAACAGATATACCCCATAGATCCTCTGTTTTTTTATTATTAAGCTGTTTGAATATTTTCATTATTTCTACTGATGATGTATGTCTAAAGTTAAATACAGCTGATGACTTGCTAACATTGTCTGTTAGTAAAGTTTCAGCAGCAGACGGGGAAGATTTTAGAGCCTGTGTCGTAATTAATGGAATATTAGTGAAATAAGATTCGAATGTATCCGCGACCTCTGTGTCGGAATTTACCAATTTGTTATTAATATTTAAAGCTATTTTACTATTTTGAAAATTAACTTTTCCAGTTTCGCTATTTATTACTTTCCAAGTGGCTTTTATTTTATCTTTAGATTTAGTTATTATTTTACCTAAATAGAGAGACTTAGCTGTATGACAAACCTTTTTAAATATTTTCGAATAAGATTTTACATGTTCATGAAATAAGGGATCGGATATATAGCTTCGTTTTTCGTAAAGTTCGTAAAGATTAGCCCTAGACTTATAAATACCAAACGTGGCCCAGTCACAAAACTTTGATTTTACACTAGTTGAAAAGGTTTTTGTTTTAAATTCACTGCTAGCTTCATGTTCAATTAAATTAAAAATATGTTCACATACAATGTCCGGGTCATATTGAGGTACTATGACACTAGATATTTTATGTTCAATTTTATTTTTAAAACGTGCCAAATTCTTTTGTGTTATTTGTCTGCATGTAATTGTTTGAGTCCCTTTGGATCCCTTAGTTTCAATTATAACTTTTTGTCCATAATGATCAGATCCAAGACAGTCGAAATTCATTTTCACCTTTACTTCACAATTACAAAAAACATTATCTATACAAGTGGCAGAATTTCCTGCGACCCTAGTGGGTTCTAAAAAAAGATTGTGCAAATTAAATGATTTAAATAAGTTAATCAATCTTAAGCTTATTGAGCATTCCGATAATAAATCAACATTAAAATCGCCACATACAAATAATGTTTTATTCCTCCGTGCGACTCGTCTCAATGCTTCCTCCATAGCCAGTTCAAAAGAATCAAAACAAGCCGATGGCGGACGATAAACGCAAATTATTATACAAGTAACTAATTCTACGCAAGATAGTTCAATTGTTTGCTCAATAGAAATATTTACAATGTCTTGACGGTTTTTATATTCTACATCATTTTTTAAAATAATAATTGACCCGCCATGAATGGCATTGTTCCTAGCAAAAAAACTAGCTATATTATAATGTTCAAAAGGACAAATTATTTCATATTGTTTAAGCCAATGTTCTGTCAGACATAACACCCGTACATTGTTAGATTCTAAGAATAGACTTAATTCTAATTCTTTGCTGGAGAAGCCACGAATATTTTGATGAATAATGACCATATCCTGTGGCTTAACCAATGTCGTAGATGTTAGTTTAAATTAACACATGTCACATTATTAGTATTATTACTAATATTACTAATTAAATCCGTTATACTACTTATAATGGGATCATAAATGTTATACGCTAGTAAACTAGCAATAGTCTTTTTTTGTTTTTTAGGAAGATAAAAATTACCTCCCGTCATATAATAATTTGTAACAAATTTGTTACTTTCAAAATAAAATATATCATTACAATGATATGTCATCGAATAAATTAAATTATTTATACTATAAATGAACTTATTCTGTTCATTAGTCAGGGATTGAGAGTAGGGAAATGCGCAGAATAATATTTTACCTATACCAAAGCAAGAGCTAATTTATTCAACACAAGAAACAAGAACAGAAACAATTTAAAAACTTTCGAAATGTAACGAACTTTCTAAAATGTGTTTTTTAAATTAATATTACAACTTTGACTTTGACACTTCCATCGAAGCAAATAATCACTACGTTATGAACATGCTATTTTTGTTTATTACAAAAATAGCATGTTCATAACGTAGTGATTTTAGTAGTAAAAGTAAGTAAACAACATTTCAGTAGGTAATATAAGTTTCTTTGCTAATAAAGCATTTAGCGTGTAATCATTGCAAAATATATACAAAAGTATGCCGTATTTTGTTTTTTTTCTAATAAATTAAAATTTAAAATATAGTAAATTGAAAAAAGTTATTTTTGATTATTAATTATTCCATTTCGACAAGTATTTTTGAAAATAACTTCAATAATCTACTAAAATAAACAACTTATTACGAAAGCGAAACCACAACGTAAAGATACGCGTGGGTAAATGGAAATAATTTATTATATAAAAAACTGGTTCGCTGAGAGCTACTTCTTATCTTCATATTATATTTTTCTCTCATAAGTTATTTAATGAAATTACATTATTTTGTGGAATTCCGCTACCATACAAATCTGAATTATATAAATCCATTAAGTAATGAAACGGACTTTAGCAAAATAACACCTAGTTCTATAAAGCAGTATACCATCGTATCCGAAATGGGCTCTAAAAAGCAAGAACCCATGAATATTTTCTTTTTTTTTTTATAAACTGTCGTTCAATGTTATACTCTGTTAACCTTCATTCATTGTCATTCATTGAATGTTGTTGATATTATTGCAAGAACTCAAGAGAAAACAGCACACTGTTTTGTCATATTAGATGTAATTTTGTTCAACCGATCTACAATCATGATAAATGGTTTAAATAATGATTATATAAATAAATTATTATAGTTTAGTCATATTATTATTTAAATGTTAATTTAATTAGTTTAAGTATATTATACGTACATTACCCATGAAATTATTTCTTTTTTTTATTATAGCAATAGTTAATATTCCGCAACTCACACATAAGCAATTGTTCATTGTCAAAAACATCTGTATGAAAGACAAACACCCCTGGTTCAGTGTTGCCATACTAATCTATATAATTCTAACATTTGTTACAATACTCTACTGTATTAGGTACTACATGTGGGAATACTATCTAAAATATAGGTATATTTTCATTGTGTAATTCAAAGACGATAACATAAGTTTAGAATAAGTTTTTTTGTAATATGTTGTGTATTCATAGTAAACTTTAAAACTTCTAGTCTAATTATAAAAGTTACAACTCAACAAATCGGTATAGTCAGCTTTTAGATTAAAAATATTATTATTATTCACTTACATTACACATAAAATTTTTATTCACTTCGCTGACTTTGGTTTTCTGCACTAGAAGGTTAAAGAACCTGGAGTCTCGGGACGAGCCTCACTGCCCCGGCATTTTCGCCGGGGGCAACTACCGCTTTTATTGTTATTAGATATATATATGCTATTTTACTATAAGGATCTGTAAAATAAAGTAATAATAATTTGTAATATAAGATGATTTAAAAAAACATAGCTGTATAACACATTACCTTTGTCTATGTCTTTAGTTAGTTAATATTAGAGAAAATATACTTAATTATACAATAATGAATTTCTAATAAAAATAATAAGTATTCGGATATTGTTTTGTCGGCCATTAAAATAAAAACACCCAAGAATTTATTTTCAGGATCAATCTGATTTTTAATTTGATTTGACAGTAATGTCAAGTGTCATAGTGTCATAGCGGGAAAATAAGTATTAATTATTTACAAATTACAATACTTTCAACTGTCTGTGTAAATCGATCTGAATTTCTTAATTTAATTATTATATTAATTATGTTCTACACACATTGAATAATATTTTATAATATGTTTGAGTGGGCTTACAGTGGTGCTAACAAAGCCGTACCCAGAAATGTGGGGCCCGAATGTGCTTATTTTTTATCTCCACTTAGACAAATAATTGAGACTGTTATTGTAACAACTATCTGCATTTATATTTTAGTAAGTAGTAAATTTCTGATAAACTAATTCCAATTTTCATATGTATTTTCACTTTAATAAATTATCCTATCAAATTAGAAATTTTAGCGACTATTATCCTGTGCAATGTATTATTAATATTAAATATGTTCTGCCAAATGATAGTAATACACCTTTTAATTTACCTTGTAATAAACATCAAACAGTATCTTGTATTTTGTCAAACTGAAGTTGCTAATATTTATGTTTTTTATTATTTAGTCAATTGCTCAATAATACAAATGTAAAATGAGCTTTGTTAGGTAATATATAAGTACTTACATATTATTATTCTTATTCCTATTGGGAATTATGTCTTAAATTGTTATTAGCTATTGAATTAGTTTGAAATTTCATATATTTATTTATATATAATATAACAATGTTTTTTTAAACATATTTTCACTGTAATTTGCCACCATTGAATTGATCAATGATTCTAACACCCAACAAACTACAGGCATAATTGCATGTGGCTCTGTGATTTATTGTCATATTTTTAAGTCAAAGTCTAAACTGGTTTCAGATACACCATACATCAATAAATTATTTTATATTTTTGCCATTCCTACCATCCAGTTTGACTAACTACATTTTTTGAGAATGAAACTAATAATAAACTTAAATAAATGGAAACTGTTTAAAGTTAAAAAGTTTAACTTTAAATGGTTGTTAGGAACTACAAGTTTATAATTGTATGTAGTATAATAGTCATGGATATTACTGTATTTGTGAAGTATATGTGTCAGTTTCTGCATTGCATGTACATGTTGTAAAGATACACAGTACATATACTGTTGATAGCGTCTTAAGTTTTACTGTTAATTCAATTTTTCTTCCTATGCTTCATCATCATTAATTAATACCTTTTGTTCTTCCAATATTTCCTGAAATTATAATACTGAGAATATTCAATTAAAACCTAACACCAATAAACAGGGTTTAGTATTTGGAATGGAGGATGGAGTCTAATTCTTATTACAATAAATTGGTGCATCCCTCTGAGATAAATAAAGCACCAATATAATTATTTTACATCATGGCAGGAAAATTATTGCTCTGAAACAAGGTTAAGGGATTGAAAGTATTAAGGACTAGTGATTATTACTAACAAATATAATACTCATGTAACTTATAACTTGAAGTACCCTCGGAAATAATTGTGGTAAATTTCTGGTGAACTGAGATGACTGATCAGAAACTTGCAGTGTACTAACACTGCAAGTTTGTGGGGAATATTAAGATTTATACTTATGAGTATATTGGTTTACCATCAAGTTAAATTGTTGATATTAATTTTCAGATCAAAACTTATCCAAGATTGGAAATACCAAAGGAAATCAATTACATAAAAAATGACAGAGGTGGTAAAAGATTATTAGTTATTCTTCTAGCCTTACTATGGGGTATGGAAATTGGCTTTAAATTTGCATCTCGAACCGTTATATATCTGTTAAATCCATGCCATGTAACAACTTTAATACAAGTGAGTATGTATTGAAAAGATATGGAAATTAAATTGTTTATCTATATGAATATAAAATCACCAATTACTACTTTTCTTTTTACAGATATATTTGCTAGCTGCCCCACCAAGCAAGACAGTAACTGGTTTATTTCGTATTCATTTGAATTTATTAAATGGCCCTCTCTTAGCATTTTTGTTTCCTGAAACAGCTTCACGAACGGTATAAGTAACATGAAATCAATATAAAAGTACTTGTAGCATGTTTTAGGAAAACTTATATAGCAGACATATGAGTCAAGATTTTACAATAAAAGTAGCAGGAATTTTGAAGACCTAGCTCTTTTTTTATATATGTTGTGATCCTGCATATAGCACAGCGAAATCCCTCAAAATTCCTCCTTCTGAGTCTGTCTTTCATGAAATAATTCCTGTGGAAGGTATTAATGTATAATTCTTTATTTTTTTATGTAAAGTGGTCGAAAAATGATGATGGTTATTGAAGATGTAGGAAAAAATGAATTGAATCGAAATGAGTTATACAATGATCATATTGTATAATACAAAATAGGATTAACATCTTACATATATATAATATAAAGATTATTTTGTAACTTGAATAATAATCATAAAGAACTAATATGTAACATTTTTTCTATTCAGATTTTAGCAGAAGCTGCATTATATTGGATACAACATGGAATGATGTTTGTAATACCCTATTATCTATTAAGAATTGGTGGTATGTATCATTTATTTCTTTTGTTTGTTCTTTGCATTTGGCCTTGGATATTGGATATTTTATCTGATATATGACTGATAATTAATACAAATTATCACAGCCGTGTATAAGATAAAAATATAAAGATGATATTGCCACTAATTAATAACTAAATTAATGAAACTTGTAGTAATCTTTCGAGTAAATAGAATAGAATAAGAAATTATGAAACAAAAAACAAGAACCCATTAAACATTACAGGAAAGCCAAACACAATTGATTGGTTTTAGAGCAAATTTACAAATTTACTTAGTACGTAGGTAGTGTTATAATATTAACGGAGTAGCTATTTAGAGAGTAATAGTCTTTCTTCGTGAATTTGAAATACCAAGCAAATTTACGACCCACATGATGGAATGTGAAAACCGTCGCATATAGACATGGACAGCACCATGAACGTCACGTGACAACAAGATGTCGATGGTACGGTTTACAAAGTTATGTTTGGGTACAAAGTAAGACTAATGTCTCAGACATATAAAATTATTTTAATATATTTTTATGTAAATATGTATATAATATACATTGAAAAAACCCAGACAGATACAAACAGTCATACTCATTAGTACAAATATAAATTTCATTTCAATAGATATTGTTTTGGAGGTGCAAAGAGTTTATTGTGGTAAATTCCAACAATGTTTCTTTCAGGTGTTTATAATGTAGAACCCATATGGGATTTCAATTGGGCAATCTTCAGTTATAGTTTAAATCTTTTGTACCACTTCATTGTGTTACAAATTATTGCAATCGTAAGTACATTTATAATCATTATATATAGTATTAAAGGTTAAAGTAAGGACTTCCTGATTTGACTCAAAATTGAAACTCGTTTTTTTTCTAATATGTGATATATTTATTTAATCAAAATATTTACTGTCATTATCTATCCGTTACTACCATTGGAAGTTCAATGCCTTTACGTTAAAACTCTGGGGATCTAGATTCGACAAACTGTGTGAAAGCACTTTGTACTCCTAGGAAGAAAACATGAAACATGTTTACAATGACGAATACTTTCGTGAATACATTTCTATATATCATCCATATAAGTAAAATATATATCTATTCATCTATATATATAAATAAAATTGGAGTGTCTGTTGGTAATATTGACATAACCGTTTTTTACTACATGCATATTAATATAAATATATACACCAAAATATCATTTTTTACAATTTTTCTATAATAAAAGTAATAAATTTTTTCTAAAATAAAAATGGCCTAAGTTACTTCTTATTACATCAGCTACCTGCCAAAAAAGTCCCATCAAAATCGGCCCATCCATTTCTGAGATTAGCCGGAACAAACACACAGATTGTTCCTATTTTTATTTTAGAAAAATCTTTTATTTTAAAAAAATAAAGTTAAATTCCACGCGAACGAAGTCGCGGGAACAGCTAGTTTCTAATAATTATAGTTACAAATACGAGTAATAATATGTATTTTTTTTTATATTGTTTTAGCCTGCGCAAGTAAATTTGAACCACATGCTCTGTCCCGCAATATTGGATCCATTTGATGGCCCCTGGTATCGTATCGCAGCTGTTATACACCAAGCGCTACTTTGTCCACTCCTCTGCAAAACATTCTGCATTGTTGCAGATTTTTGTCTTACGAAATTCCCACCGACGAAAGTGAAACCTCATATGAAAGATAACTTGCAAGATCTGAAACCCGACGATAAGTTAAACAAACGGCATAATGACTAGTGGTTGTATATATTTTTTTCTCTTTGCGGCTGTAATCCCTGTCAGGGTAGCCAGAATTTATTGTATAAAATTGCCTATTGTAGAAAAGAACAATATTTCATCGCGTCCATTTAGTTTGAGTGATTATAGTAGAAGTTAAGATTGAACAATAATTTATTTTAGATTATGATAAATCTAAATGATGCTGAGTTATAGAAATATATATTAAATGGTAGGTATAATGCACGCAAATTGAATTTCTTAATACTAAGGCGCAACACGTTATTATGACGAGATTGTTTTTGTGTTATTAAGCCTATCTATCAATGTTGTTGGATTCCAACATCGGGATAGGCTGTTTGTATATCACTTGCCTTGCTGCCATAACTTAGTAGTAATTTAAAATAGGTATGACATGTGTTATATGTTATCAAAGTTTTTAAATGATTCTTATTATATTTCAAATTTGTGAGAAAATCATATTTACCGATTCGAAGGTATAATACCTTTATTATTTTTGATTTTATAAAAACAATAGGAACGTCGTTATTCGGATTTTGACGCATTTACATATATTTAATATCAAATATTATGACTTTACTACCTACTTAATAATATATGATGAATATTCTATATTCTAATCTCAGACTAACCAAATAGTGCTTATATATGTAACAAAGAGCATAGTTAGGATAGGATGCTGGTCATGGAAAAGAAAAAGCAAGAACATATTTCTGCTACAATAACGAAATTAATGGAACAAAATATACATATATCCTGTCAAAATAATCACCCCCAATGATTGTATATATACATATACGTGTACGAGCAATGTAGTGAATATATGACAATCGGTAAGGTAAAGATACCAAAGTAAAGGTATTTAAATCCCTGTATAGGGCAAACTATTGTAGATTGATAAAAAAAAAACCCAAGAAACAGAAATTACGAGTTTATAAATAGTAATGACGTAGTACATTACTATTTATAAACTCGTAATTTCGTAACTAGCGGCAAAATATAAAATCGCGTTGTTTTTATAAGGAAGAGTGAAAATATGAAAGTTCATGACAATCACAGAGATATTTTATTTACGCTTAGATCAAGGGTCTCAGGTGATGCACATAATCGATCGCGATCTATCAACCTTTAACTAGGAACACATGGAAGTAACTCTACGCACATAATGACGTTCTTATAAATACTTACATGCGATCGCGTTTTGTGTAACGAACCGCCTCACGTCATCATCGCCATCGCCTATATAATAACTCCAATTTTGTAAAAACCAATTATAGGTAGGTACCTCCTTCGATAAAATTCTGAAGGTAGGCTAATGGTAATGATAATAATGAAATGCAACATACGCCTGTGATAGCCGATCATCAGTGAAAGTGGAATCCTGAACTATATTAAATACTAAGGGTAGGTACAATAGGAATATAGCAAACTTTATACTGGACGCATCAATGGAAAGTAATGATGTATGAGCTGCTTGAGACATTGCGCTCTTAGGGTACATAGCTTCCCGTTTGAGAATTACTTGAGTTTATTTGAATAAACAATGAATATTATTTTACTTTCGTACTTCGTTGCATCAATGTTAGCTATTGTATCAAAAAATCTTTTTATTTATTCTCCTTGTCTGAGATTCTTAACGAGTCATTACAAATCAATAAGGCTAACTTTCGTGATCGAATAATTGACATATATGACTACATTGTTCCATTGTCGTTACATTTTGTTTTAGCGACTATGTTTGAAAGACCATTGATTGACTTAAAATATTTGATTACTACCGAGCGCACGCAAAAGAATAAATTTGAGCAGATATACGTATATAATACACCAATGTGGGTAGCTAACGGGTATTGGAAATATTGACTCATTAAGTGTAATGAGTAATGAAAGCAAATAATCAGAATTTGTATATGCCAGTTTTCCATATTGGCTAGACATTTTTCACTGTACAATTGGTATCTTGTTTACTATTATACCTAGCTATATTTTATGAATTAATGAGACGAAGTCCCTACGGTGCGGTCGGCAGATGGGGTTTTGGTTGCAATTAAAGTGTTTTTGATGAAGATACTTTTTGTTTCGGACCTATAATTTGTTTATTATTTATGATAAGGGATGGATATACATATTTTACACATAATATTTATTTATTGGATTTAGTTTGGTTTGTATATTTAGGAAATTGATGGTTTCATAACATTTTCTTTATCATAATTTTATTTAACGTGTGGATCTGAACACAAATTGTATTAGAAAGGAACGATTAATTGGTAGGTATATAAAATATAGCCTAGATTTCTTTTTAATTTGTGTATCCGTACATTAACTAGTCAATGATAATAAAAGCAATAAAAACAAAAAAATTAAAGCGTGTACCTGTATTTTAAGAGTTTTAGATATTTATAGCATATAAATAAAAGGATACTCATCGTAATGTCTGAAGTTAATTTGTTGACAGTTAAAATGCCATTGTTAAACAATGTAGAATTAAAATACCTAATGGTTAATATTATCTGAAACAAGAACATCTAAGTAATAAACAGGCCCATATTCGTGATTTGTGAACTTGGGCCTAGCTGTTTATTACTTAGATGTTCTTTTCCCTCAGGCCGTAAATTTAAAAGTATATATCTACCTACACTACATAATCTCAACTAGTGTACCTACTTTTAAATTTACGGCCTGTATGATGTGAAACACTCCGTTAAGATATACTTAACGTCTAAAAATACAATTTTACATGAATCACAATACACATAGGGTTTTTTTTAATAAAAAAACAATGTGATGACTTGCCTTTCTGCGTTAGCGATACCCGCAGTGGGGCATCAGCGGAGAATTATATTTATTTAGTTATTTATATGAAGTTAGGTCATTTAGCACATCATGGTAAATTCACCTGGACTTCTGGTAGTGTATATGTACATAAAAATATTGCTATCAGTGTCACCATTACTAACCACACAACCCTTTTCCGTCACACAACCGTCAAAATACTCCGTTGATGAAAATGTACCAATCCCATAAAATTATGCTTTCAAAGTAAGTATTATGATTCATGTAAATCGGCGCATTTCCTTGTTGGATTTGGAGTAAACATTTGTTAAATAATAACAAGTTTTATATATTCTTTTCATATTCTGTAGGAGAGTATTCTTTTGTATGTTACGCTATACTTTCTTCGGATTTTGATGTTATTTTTCCAAACGATAAAATTTACCGTCATTTTGACTACTTACCAACTTACCAAAGAAAAGTTTTTTTTGTAGATTAACAATACTTGTAAGTACAATATGATCGAAAACATACAATAACCATTAGGTAATTTAATTTATTATATTCTTATACGTATCCCAGATATAAACAATAAAGAAATATCTACATTTATTACGCTGTTTTAATATGAAAACACATTGTCGTCCGTTTAAACTATAATAGGAAAAAATTCTGCAGTACCTACCGTCACATTAAGGGTATCATAAAAACTCCATAATTTACATTTTGAATGTCCACTGATATGTGAAAAGGAACTCCGGTATTACAATAATAATTAATTTTACCGGCAGCATAGATATTGGCAATTATAATAACAGTAGATAAAGTATTGACGATAGTTTTAATATAGGTATTTCTACGTAATGTTATCTTCTTTATCTGTGGTACTAGAAGCTTCGTGGATGCAAATGCAATGCTTGAGTTACATGCAGTCTTTCGTGGCCATGTCTTATACTGAAATTATATGCTTCCCTCATTTTATTAATCCGCTGTTTTTGTTTCATCGTCTTTGTATGGAGTGACTTGTGTAGGATCGGTGCGGTACCACTATCCATGGACAAACATTCTAATAATAGACGCAATAATTTCATTAGTAATATGTAGTTTAATAATTTTATTCTAATAAGTTTAGGCTAGCGACAGTTATTTGGAATGTAACGAACAAACTTTGCCTCTAAAGTATGGATTAAGTATGTCCAGCTGTGGAATTCTAGATTGCACTTTTCTCTTTTTTCGTACTCAGTTGGACAAAACTCCACCTTTCTGAGGTGGGTAGATACCTAAGTTATCACGCATAAATATCCATTATTCCCGATGCGTAGGTATCAGGTGTAGTAGGTAGTAGTGGAAGCACTTGTAGGTACTTCTATTTTTCTCCGATTGTTATCAATGATGACTTGCAACTATGTTAGTCCACATAATCTAATCATTGTTTATTCATTAAGTATTGTAAGAATAATTAATTAATGAAAAGAATTCAAGAAATGTAAATGTTATAGTAGCTATTAAAATACAGAGGTCGGTCCTTGCTTATTTAGGTAGTTCGTTACTTATATAGGTATACATTTATTTACCATTCAAGTGGTATTGTCTTGATTACAATTTTATATGAGTTCAATCTGGGAATGGTGTTCGATGAATTTCCCTAATTTGGAATAACGTTTTTAAAAACAAACGGAGTACCTACATACCATAACATTGAAAGATATAAGAAATACAACCATACATTGTAAATAAAAACCTAACTAATTAATAGTCGACTTATAATTATTAACAGTCATATTGTTCCTTAATTATCAGAAATATTGGTTTATTCGTAAACTCACAGAGGGGCAGGAATTACTTATTAGAAAGGTAATTTAGAGTAGGGTACCTATTCCAAATTAATTTCACTACTCAATAATTGTGTTTTTGTACTAAGATTATAGTTAGGTATAAATGTTGAGTGCTTAATATTACTTCGTGATTTTTTTTCATCTATAGTACTGTTTTAAATTTGAACGTCAGTCATTATTTATACGTACAATTACAAAAAACGTTACATTTTTTACATCATTGTTTTGTATTAGTTTTTGAATAAATTTTTGACACACTTAACTAACGTACACAATACGTTTGAGGCCTGATTCCCCAACAACATGCTGCCCACCTCTAAATACTTACAGTTATCAATGTCGTAACCTCTGAGTCAATTTCAATATATTAGTATTATAATATTAATTGATATGTATGTTAGTCTTTAGGGTATTTATAATATGGGCCTAGTAGCCTGAAATAAATAAAATACGGCCCACTGTGAAATATCTACCGACCGGTTTTAAACTTGGCCTCACATTGTTATGAGTCTCTCAGACGATTATGCTACCCCATACATCGATTGGCGCATTGCGAAAAGGGACGCGGGGCGCATTTGGCTCTACAGATACACAAATCGATTGGACGATCGTCTGACTCATCGTCGTCTAACCTCGACAGTGAGGCCAGATTAACCTGGCCACCATCGTCCTTTAGCTACATGTGGGTATATAATGAACCTCACGTAATCTGTCATATGTGAGGCCCGTCATACTCTCCTGGGGGGTACGATAGGCTGACTAACCTAACTTCATACTCATTAAATATTTTTTTACTACGTACCGCCAACATCCCATTATCACCCTTTGAAAAATCTCTGTAATTGCATTGCTATAAATATCTCACCCCCTTAACCGAAATAGTTCACAAAGCAACCTGCTTGGTGGCTAAAATAGGTGAAACATAGGTGTCCACGAAGACGACTTTGTACAAAGTCTAAAAAACACATGTAATAAGATAAAAATAAAACAAAAGTTATAATCATACCTATATATACTTAACATACACCAAAATAATTTAAAAATATAACATAATTATTATAAAAATTCACAGCCAACCAAAATTTCAGTTGATCAGTCTGATTACGTAATTTATTCTTAAATTAACAATTAATGACCACACAAATAATACATTTATTTTATGATTTCTATAAGTCCACAGTATAGGAAACATATATATACCTATGTAGGTTTAAAAGTAATATGTGCTTACATTTGTGGTGGATATATATTTTGGACAAAATTATATAGAACAACGATACGTGGCCTATAAAAAGTGGAGTACCCTACTTTTAGAACTTTTGAACATATTCTTAGTACAGCATGATGTGTGTTACTATATAATTAAGACGATGGTCAAACTGAAAAACATGTATTTAGGTAAATTTCAAATTGGATAATAGTGCAATACATTTAATAATCATTTTATAATAGCTACGTAGTAATTTTAATGTCCATTACCTATATTTACACCAACACACTCGTTATGGAAAAAAGTTAAACATTGTTTTATATAATATCGTATATCGCTCGTATAATATATGAATACTGATGAAGTCACCTACGAAATGGTAGGCGACTTCATCAGTACCTATATAATACATATATCTATTGTAGTTTTTTACAATAAATAATAAACTCTACGAAGTTGGTATGTGGCAAATTGAGTCCAGAATGAGGTTACGAGTTCCGAATCAGAACATTATTAACTTATAACAACACATGTCTTGTAAATAAAAAATATATGGTACATAAATAAAAAATCAAACTATCATTGTTTAAAAATCTGTTTATTAATAAAAACATTAGAACTAAAATACGATAATAAATGCTTATATTTAAGCAAATATAAAATACACCCTTTTCTCTGACCACTGCTAATGCACTTTTCATGCATGAAATTTTTGCTAGTGAACGGTCCCTCACTTATTATTTATCAAAGATGCCTGTCTCTATGGTGCGACACAAACTAAGTTTTATATAGGTACTGCCCAATCATATAAAATTGAAAATTTTGAAAGAATGTATTTATTTTCTTCGCAAAGAATTAAATGGTGAAGATATTAAGTACCCAAATATTCTCATAGTCCTACTAGTTTAGTGGGGTTAAATTAATTAATATTTACATTTCAAAACTATTTATCATATTTGTTTGCTGAGTTATTAATTTATATAATAGAAAAATATTTGAAAATACAATTCCTACCTATTACCTAGCAGCAAGCTTCGGGATTATGTCATCATAACTGTTCATATAAATCGTTGTACCTACAAAGAAAATAAGCTAATCTACAATATTTAAAGTGTGGCGAGATCGATTCGTATTGTACTTACATGGTTTTATCTTCGGAAATGGTTGCTCGGAATTTAGTAAACGGTAATAGTAACTTAAGCGAGTTCTTAGAATCATATGAAAGTGGTTAATTTTAAAACCAGTCTTTTACTTGTAGTTACTTATTACTTTGAAGTAAAAAAAAACACCTATTCTTTCATTGTGGCGCTTCCATGAAAAATAATAAAAGAACTTATTTACTTGTCTTAATTAAATCGTACCTACTCGGATTTGTTAGCAAACATACTACGGTGACAAAAGGTTGTTAGCAAACATAATACTGCGGGTCGCAGCTTCTTCATTGGTAATTGCATCGAATGCAGCTGCTTACATAATTACGATCGAGTTCATTTGATCTTCAATTTTACGTAATTATTTACCAAAGTACTGTACCATTTTTACTACATTCAAGTTAAATACAAATTAGACCTACTAATGTACCACGGGTAAATACCGTGGTGCGAGTGACAAGCTTACACAGCATCCTTTACGCAAGCTTGTTGCATTCAACAGAATAACAATTTTTTAAAGTAACTGGAATAACTGTCTGGCTGCCTGGTGGCCAGGGGCAACCGTTGGCTACATATGAGATGAGCGCCACGACAATACACATTGAGGTCGTGACCTGATAATATGTCTAATATGTTAGTGTTTATGGGCGACGGTTGTCACTAACAATCAGGTGACACTACCTGTCAGCTTGTTTCCAATTACATAAAAAGTAGTACCACACCATATCCGGTTTTTTCATAGTAAAAAGAACGTAAATGCTATTACTCTAATCATACAACAATGCCCAAAGTGTACTTAGTCATTTAAATTATTAATATACACGAACCAGGCTCTCATTTATTTTTATGTCATATTTTTAAGTACTATTAAAATAAAAAAAATCTTCCCATTGTTCATCATAATGGTGACAGTTCATAACACCTCTAAATATAACTCATCTATATTTCGGAGGATATAAATATATTTTTTATTTATTAAAAAAATATGCAGAGTAATCGTTAATTTCAAGCATTTGCCTATATCTCTTTGACGGCCTCTGTGGTCTAGCGGTTTAACAGACTGCCTTACTTCTGATGGTCGCGGGTTTGATTCCAGGCACGGTAAAACATTTATTCATAAGTATTATCGTTTGTACTTGTCTGGCTGGTATATTGTATGTATGTAGTCACAATTAAAGTGGTCGCCGTAGCCGTAACGGCTAGGTATGTTAAATATCATTATTTACAACAAAAGTGTATATAAGTAGTATTAACAATTGTCTAATACCCATTACGAAAGTTCTGCTTAAGTTGGGACTAGATGGCGTTGTGTCAATTGTTCAGTGTTACTATTATATCTACATAGGTACTTACAGGATATAAATTATTCTGTTTATTAGCTCTACCATTAGTATGTGCCGTCACCACAAATATTGAGTGCGGAAACCTGACCACCGCTACAGGAAGGGTTACGATCTCTGTTGGTGGCCAAATTCCGACGCTTATTGAATCTACACCCATATTGCGACACGTGTTTAGCATATGAACAGGATATCATCAGGCAATGAATAGAGCTCGATATCCGAGCTCTATTCATAGCTTCCATGATCTCCACTCCGGTATCCGCTCTGAATATTTGTGGAAATAATATAAATTATAATAAACAAGTAATCAAATGGACTTTCCCAAAATAACACCTAATTCTATAATAACATATACATATTATAACGGCTGCGGCGTTGCAACAGTAACATAAAAATTAATTTCTTTGAAGTTAGTTTTTAATGGCTGACGTAATGGGGTATTTCTTAGACATGTTTAAAGCAATTTAGTCTTGTTCAACAGCCAATGGACAATTAGATAATGTTAAATCAGATGGCTTCTCTTAACTATTGGAAAAACTAGTTGCAACAATTTAAGTATAAAAAAATTACTTAACAATTTTGATCAATCATTTTAGTGTTTCGAAATTAAAATTTTTGCAATCTAGTATGAACCACTTGACAGTTGTAGTTGCATATTGTCAAACTTTATTTGCATTTACATAAGCAACATTCAAGGAAAAATCAACATTATAATACATCACAAAATTAAGTTATATGAATTTCCAAATATTGCAAATAATATAAGCCACACATTACAAGACTTGGTTTTTATTTATGTCTGTGTATATTTAATCGGCAATTCAATATCATAATCACCCAGATAATGTATTTAGTTTATTTTCTATTAGTATGTAATTTGATAAGTAATATTGTGTAAAAATTATTAACATTCACACGGAGTACAACGACAGGCGATACAACGACAAAAGGCACTTTGACATTTTAAGTTTTGCATCATACCATAATAAGAACCTTAGGTGCGTGTTGCAATATGCTATATGAATCTCTATAAAAATTGCTTCATTACAGGAAAGGAATAGTGCAAATATAAAAAACAGAAATATAAATAACGTAAACAGAGACGTACACGAGTACAAAATAGCATATACTATCACTTCGGCATTTCGGCATTAGAGCACGGCCGCTAGACGTTCCAAGAAGCGTTTAAATTAATTTTTAGTTATTGATTTAACATCGGTACAACTTACGGCACTGTCAACACCACTCCCCAGCATAAAAGTATAATTATGAAAGAAAATATAAGCTTTGGAATAAATAACATTAACTATCAGTATCACTGAGTTTTGGACTAGATATTGACATTCTAGACACCATTTACTATCAGCCATCCACTGGTGGTCCTAAATAGACCATAGATACTTCAGTATTTCCATAGACAGCAGACACTGTGGGATATAATTTCTCGTTTGGAAGGCCTGAAATAATTAATAAGATTGTTATAGGAATGATATACAATTATAATAAATTAAGCAGTACATTTATTCCAGTCTATAGATATGCTGTGTAATATTCCACAGTTTTGTGTTTTAGTGGAACTAAGTTTCTTTAACAATAATTACCCTGGACAATTTACACAGCGTTATCTATTCCCTACCTGAGCAAAACTTGTATTATAAGTACAACTGATAGAAATATTTTTTTAATATTCATAGAAAATGCACAGATCAAACGAAAAATAAACAATCATATTCATGAATACAAATCTTTGAATCGGACCCACGCCAATCGGAGATAAGGCAGTCAAATCATATGTTTATGATATATCTCTAAGAAATAGACACTATAGTTATTGTTCATTAGTATTATTTTGGCTTAGACTAAATTTAACAACATTTCCGGACAAAATTAAAAGTAGAACAGTTCGGAAACTTGGAATTTCCATTGTTTACTACACTCCAGTGTACACTACAAGAATTTATTGTCTTGTAGGCCTCACAGAATTTTTACCTGATATTCCGCAAAATGGACAATGCCCACATCCTGAATTACTATTTAGAACGAATTTCCGCAATATTCCTAGTTGTTTACGATGCAATCTATGCACAGACTTTATTATTTATTTGTGTTAATAATTACGTCTGGTAACACTCTGTGTCCATATTTAGTCCCATGAATAACATATTTTGTTTATGAATAGTTACAGAAATAATAATAGAATATGTTCTCTTTACCTTTGAAAGCAACTCCTAAAAATTCGAAGTTTTTTTCAAATGATAAAGTATTCTCCTCACAATCCAATATCACTCTAATACGTTCACCAACCTGAAAATGAAAATAATATTTATTTACTTTATAGGATTACCAACATAAGATACAGTTGATATAATATGTCGTGCTGTTATACAATGCTAAATGCTGGTTTCTTGTTCTTATATTTACAGGTAACCATAGCATGCTTTGTATTTCATTATATTGCTACTATTATACAGATCTAGGTTAACTAAAGTAGAAAGTGATTATTATAAATTTAATTAAAAAACATACATATAACACAATTGTGTGGCAAGGAAGGCCAACTTTTGAATTTTGTCATGAACTCAGAGTATATTTGGTGAAATTGGAATTACTACATATAGTTAATCATGAGTAATGAAAATGTTTTTTTTATGTAATTTAAACAGCAAACAAACAGACAACCCACATGATATGTAGTAGGCATCGGCTACATACATTATAGCACTGTGACATTATTGCATGGCACCTGATGTACTATTCATGTGTTGGCATATTGGAGAACTAAGATGTTATGATTCATGTTATGTATAATAATTTTTTGTATGTGAAACTATTGATTTTATATATATCTAAATATTGTGTTTTTTTTTCAGTAAGTAAATGGGCACCATCAAAATTCTTATTTAGTTTTCTGTATGGCAAATTAAGATTTCTACTAAAGTAACTAGGATGAGAAAATAGTTGTAGATAGTAAGTAAAATTTACAATAAATAATAATAATAATAATATGCATGACTATTATTCCTGATGATTACTTACTTGGTATTTAGGGCAATTATTTAAAAGTGGATAATGTCCTTGTGTATCCCCATTATGCAACAGGTGGTTGTCAACTAAATTCCATCCCCAACTTTGTTCATCTGAGCCTAGTAACCCAACATATCCTTGGCATTGAAGTTGAGACTCTTTTGTTGATATACCTACTACAGCAACTGTGCCTAAAGGCCCTTCCCATATTACTTCCCAGGCATGGCGACCATAATAAAATCCAATCTTCCCTCTACATGCATCAGTACTCTGTGCTACAGGATTTCTGTAATATTTATAATACAATTTAGAAATAACAAAATACTTTGGTTCATACTTCTGATCAGATCATTGACACTACTGAGGTATAGGGCTTTACTAGCTGACCTTAGAATCTAAACATCTGCTGTTTAAATCTGTGTACAATTGTATCAATTTATTTTTCAGAGTAGTTTTCTAGTGGTGGAAACACAGTTAACAGATCAAATTATACACTACTGAGTGAAATTCGAAATCAATTCAAATACACTCAATGTGAAATTTATGCAAGGCAAGTATTTGCAATGATGTTAATGATTACCAAAAAAAATTGTTTTTTTGGAATTTTCTAATTTGTATGAAACAAGTTATAAAATTAAAAGTTATCATAAAAACATCTAGAAAATTAATATAATGTTGTCTAATAAAGTAATTATTATTAAATTTAGTATGTTTCTAACAAAAATAGTCAAGCAATAAATAATGTATATTTGTCCCAAGTGTATACCTGTGTAGAGTGAATCCATTCGGTTTGACATATATATTTCTTGAGCAATCATGTGAATTCCAAGCATGGAAGAATGCCCTTAGTTTTGATTTATAAGTATTTACTGTAGAAAGTAAGTCAGATTTCAGTATTTCTGTAGCCAATCTTTTAACACATTGTAATCTCCATACATCATTATTTTCGTCATTGAGAATTCTATACCAGCTCTTGCACACTAGTGAACAATGTAAAAGATCTCTCAGATTAAGATATGAAAAAATATTTTCCAGTATATGGTCAGGAACAAGTTCCGCGATAGCATATTCATCATATACTAGTTCACTGAAAGTCCTCATATCCATAATCGTCATATATCAACCAATTTTAATAAAATAGGAATTAGATTTTTTTACAAACCACATCGAAATAGTAAATTTATGGTTTCCAGATCAAAAATTTAATACATACTGCAACATCAACATTTAACATACGAATTGTAAATACAGACGATTTTTGCTATTTGTTTTTTATATAGACTAATAAAAGAATAATAATGAAATTAACAACTGATGAAGGACTAAACAAAATAGAATTTTGTATTTGCAATGGAATGGAATTGTGAATTTACGTAAAATACAGTGAAATCACAATAACTTAATAATTAGAAAAGTGGTGTGATGTTGTGAATTTTACGATGATATGATATGGCATATGTTGAGTTGACAGATAGAGTGACAAATGACACTTGATAGTGACACTTATCGGCACTGAATTCGCGGGATTGTCAACTGGTGGAATAATTCCCAATAATTTCCATTTCCTTCCTACGCACATTTATTAAAATATAAAAAATGGTATACAAGTTCACGTTCGTTTTTATGTAACTATGACTCCTATTGGTTATATTGTCATAAGAACGACGCCTTTACATTTGAACACAGAGCAATAAACAGTATAATGCAGTGGTTATTACTCTGTGTTAAAATGTTACGGCTGTCACGGTTGCCTAATCTGTGATGGTTCATGTTCATGGTATACATTTATTTATTTGCGGTATTTACACCACAGAACGTTATATTTACGCTGTTGATTTATAAATAATTTAATAGTAACTGAAATACCGTTGACACAATATGGGGGATAAATCGACACCGCTATTAGCTGTCCTACAATTACTTCGAAAATATAATCTAAAGGTAATAATCCTACTCATTTTATTTTGTCCAATACTAGTAAACGTTCACAATAATTATATTTTTATTACAATTCATAAGCTTACATACAAGTGTTTCTCATTTCCAGGGCACTGAAGAAATTCTTCGTAAAGAAGCCAGTTTAGGTGATGTAGAGTATGAGAACTTAGATTTGCCAGAAGTAGAACTAGCTAGTATATTAACAGCACATCACACTGAAAGTGACCCCTACACTTACGAATTTGCATATGAATCTTTGAAAAAATTTATTGAGAACTCCTTAGATATGTATAAGGTTAATAACTTTTATTTTATAAAACATATATAAATTTAATTATTATAAAGATATGTGAACAATGACGACAACCACATTACAATCTTTTCAGTCATTTAGTTGTGAAAAGGTAACAAATACACACTTTTTAATTTATAATATGGATAGTGATATACATATTGCAGAACTAAAAAAAACCTAATGAAACATTCATATGATTTTCCATTGAATATTTGCAACCCAAAAAAACTTATGAACTCTTTTTCAGTATGAATTGTCTACACTCCTCTATCCTGTATTTGTTCACATGTATATGATATTGATACTCTATGATAACACAGTACATGCTGAAAATTTTTTGGAAAAATTTGGTCCTGAACAAGAAGATTATTATCAGGAAGATCTGAAGAAACTATCCATAGTAAAAAATAAAGATCAAGTAAAGGGCAATGAACTAGCAGAAATATACAGGTTATCTTTAGTGACTATTTTGTTTGAGTTATTTAAGCAAATTTTTAAATTTAAAATTGAGGTTCTCATATGTTCCTATGAGAAATGTTATGTTCCTATATCTTAGAGGTAAATAGAAATAATAAAAATTTGGTATATTATGATGCTGGTGGGAGTATCACATTTTTACAATGCATTGGGAATGTTCAAAAAGCACCATGTAGATTGTTTTCTAAAAGATCTTGGCCTGTCTAGAACTGCAATAAGTTCTATACTTTAGAATGTCTATATAAAGCTGCACTATCAGTCTCCTACCAGATTTGACTGGGCAGTGATAAAAACATGAGCTGTGAAAATTAATGTAAATGTTGACATAAATCCGGTTCACAGGCCCTGTCAACTTTTCAGAGTTTCCCTCTATGCCACATGATGGACCCAGTGTCCGTATGGTGAATCCATGGAATATTATGTCCCTGAACAGTATAATGTCCCTTTTTTTAATCTATTATAACGCCTACCTAATAGTAAGTGGTAACTGTTGTCTTTATACATAAATAACATTGGGGAATTAACATTATCTTATGACATTCATGCATTGTCATTTTGGGGGACTGAGATGTCATATCACTTTACAGCCATATCCATATTTTTCAACCGTTTTCAAAGCATAGTGCTTGACATCTAAAAAAGACAAAGGTACCCATGCCGACAACCTTTTACAAAATCTCCATCAATCATATTATTAAACATTAAGAAAATTGCAATTTGTTCAAGAAAATCAAAATCAAAATTTGTTAAATTGATTACTATATTGATATATTTACAGCTCAAACAAATTTGTAGTACAATTATCTCGTGATGCATCATCTCAGCTCAAACGATTCTTGCATGAACAAAAAAATTCAACTGTAGTCATTAACATAATAAATAATCATATACAAATTGAAATCCACGATGGCCCTGGTAGAACGCTGACTCAAATACGTGCTACTGCAGGAGGACTACTTGGAGAAGCGACTAAAAATGGTTATTAATTTTTTCTCTACATATAGTATAAATGTAATTGTTCACTTTGATCAACTGAAAAACAATTGTTACGTGATTTCAACAACATTATTGAACCCAAAACAATAGTTAGAACTTTTGTCCATACCTACTAATGTAAGAAAGAGGTTAACAATTTCACTAATGTTTTCAAGTAAATTTCACTTAATGCTTTATGAAATTAAGCATTAAGCGAAATTTACTTCTGTTTACAAACAAATAAGTTGAATGTGTACAAACAAATAAGTCATACACTCTTATTTTTACAATAGCCAATAAATTTCACTAATGTTTCAAAGTAAATTTAACTTTATGCTTTATTCCAATCGGTTTACATACAAATAAGTTTAATATGTATGAACTCATAGGCTCTTATTTTTACAGTTTTGAGTTTTATTATTGTTATTATTCCTCTAGGACAGTCTAGGTATTAGCATACAGTATCCTCTAGTATCCTTTCCTTGCAAGTCCTATATAAATGTTTCAGAAAACCGTACTAAAGTCTACTATGGTCTATTAAAAGAACCAGATATACAACTGCCTCCTGCCCCTATCGAAGATGAAGAGGAAACTGAAGAAACACCTGACAAGCCAAAAAAGAAGAAGGCCAAAAAGGATAACATATTCATGAAGAAACCTAAATCAGATCCCAATGCTCCACTTAGTGACAGAATTCCATTGCCTGAAATGTATGTAATTATTAAAAATATTCTAAAACTGTTAATCACATAATGTATTAAGTAGTAATTAATGATGATATGGTCTAGCAGCGGTGACCAGCCATTTTAATCAATGGACCAATTCAAATATTTGTTGACGGGTCTCACATAATTGATTAATAATGAACAAAACTTTATTCATAATACCTATTAATAATATTCAAAACTTTATTATAATTGTAATAGCACTAGAATAACAAATTATAAAATTACAAAACGTAAAGATTTTCTATAGAAATTATAATGCAAACAACACAAGTAACTTGTCACAACGAGACCAGTGAGGAACTCGCTACAAAAATTGTTTCAGTTTAGTATGTAGGTTTTATTATATACCACTTTATTATAATTTATTTTATAACAAAATATTGATGGGAGAGAGTAGACAAAATAAATACATTTATCGACATGCTTGGTGGGCTACATAAACATGTTTAACGGGCCGGAAGCGGCCCTCAAGCCGCGTGTTTCTTATCCCTGGTCTAGAGTATGAATGGATTTTAGGGATGATGAATGAAAAAAAGATAATAAGAAGTTTAGATATATTCTTGATACTTTGGAATTGAGTTACATACGAAATTGTGGATATTATTATTTATATACATACATATATATATATATAACAAAAAAGAATTTTACATTCTAAGAATTATAAATAGATGATTATACTTGTAAATTTTAAAGTGAGTAATTGTATGTTTTTTTTAATTATTAATTAATGAATAGGAAGTATTTGGTAATTATTTTAAATACAGAAGTAAAGTTGTTGTGATCAATAAATGACAAAAATATATTATAACTTTTATTAGGAAAGAGACTGACAAGTTAGAAAAAGGAAAAGCACTGAGGGAGGCATCAAAACGTGTCCACCTAGGTCCTGAGAGTCTGCCATCAATTTGTTTCTATACATTACTCAACAGTGGCCAAACAGCAATCTGTGCAGACATTTGTGACGACTCAACTTTACTTGCAGTTGGGTTTAATAATTCTACTATTAAGGTATATAAAGTTTAAGAATTTTTTTATATGTCAATGTTTATTTTGTGTATTCGCCTGTAATATGACCAATCTCTTGAAATAAAGATACACATTTTTGGACCTAACCCCAACAGTAATCATTAAATTAATCTTCCAGGTATGGACCCTTACTCCAGTAAAATTACGTGGCATGAAATGTGCTGAAAAATTGCAAGATATTGACAGAGAAGCAGGTTTGTGGATCTTTTTAATTTTTCTCTCCAAATAATGATTAGTTCAATAATAAATTTCATATGTATATATTGTAAACCTTATACTTTTATGAATGTTATAAGATAAACAAAATAAAAGCCTATTTGTATTTGGTTTGCGGGACTATCGGTATGGCCTCCCATAACATCACATTACCTATCCGGTATCCTCATACCGGATAGGTAATGTGAGAACCTCACACATTTTTTTGGTTTTTCAAAACTATTAATCAATTCAATGTAGTGAATTGAATACTTTCCAGGTGATGTCCTTGTAAGAATGATGGAAGAAAAGGACAGAGATACATGTCGTACACTCTTCGGCCATTCTGGACCTGTTTATAAAGTTGCATTTGATCCATTCAAAAATTTACTGCTGTCATGTTCTGAAGATTCAACAGGTAAATTTACAGTTGACTGAAACACTTCAATATATTTTCTGATAGAACTAGAATTGAATTTGTTACTTATGTAAAATAATAATAAGTTGATTTTTTATTGGAATATCGATTCTTAGGTGACATAATCCTATATCTATTTTTTTATTATATGACAATTTAATGTTTTTTATGTAACAGATTTAAATATATTTAAAACAATGTTGACTTGAATTTGTACTAATTTATTTCATGCCGGTTATTATAGTGATTTATTATTACTAGCGGTCGCCCAGTGGTAGAAATTCAACCACGTTAAATTTAACATTCAATCAAACAACATTAAAAACAGTATTAATCTATTCTCAATTTGACCGACAGACTAACTATAAACAAAAGAGTATATCGTATAGAGTATGTGTAGCAAATAGATGGTAGTGTGTGTAATGTTTATTAATTTATTTATTATACATAATTTAAAAAAATATATTAATATTTTACACTCATTCCCCATATTATAAACTATAAGTGTGTGAAATTTTATACTCCTCCGTGCGCGCAATTTTCGTAAAAAAGGGTAAAAAGTTTTTGCTTCACGTATTAATATATCAAAATTAAATTTTGTATTTAGAGATAGATTTTGTAATACGCCACTTTTGCAATAACTCCTTATTGTTTAACCTGATGGACTGTAATTTCAGTCCGACTATGGTCTCTGCAATGCTGGACATGTTTGGTGGTGTACCGCGGCCACGTGTGGCCGGTGTGGGCGGTCCGCTGGTCGCCGCACGGTCATTACTTCGCAACGGCAGGACACGACCGCACCGCACGGCTCTGGGCTACCGATCATCACCAGCCGCTCAGAATATTCGCTGGCCACCTTTCTGATGTTGATGTAATTATCGTTTTTATTATTTTATCATAAAAAATATCACGTAAGCACCCACTTAGTGGAAATAGTAATCGACTCTTGAAGGTTTTAACTATATATATCATCAGTTTTAGTAACAGTATTTATTTGTTATCATTTTCTAAATCGTATTTAAAATATATCATTCTATAATTGACAAATGGATGTATACTTTTTTAAACCGCGTAGGGATAAAAAAGACGATAAAAAATCAATCGTGCATTTAATACAAATCATAACAATTGAATAGGCAATTGTAAAGTATTCAAATAGAACAGTTACAATACTAAAACTACTACTATATAATAAATAATATAGTATTGAACTCCGAAAAGTACCGTTATTATTATTAAATAAGTTTAAATAGATATTCATTCAATAATATATACTTCCTCTGTCAAACATTGATTATGATTTATCAGTATTTACGTATACTAACGTATACATGACTATATTTGTAATAACGTATAATTAGGCAAAGGTACTTTATGACATAGGTCTTCAATACTCCAAATAACATGAGACCTGAGTATTTCTGTATCAGCTTTATATTGTATAATTTATTTGGTTTATTGAATGTCTTTAGTTGTATACGTGCTGTCTATCTATTTATTTTTAAAAAGTGATTTAATGTGTAGTAATAGTTACATGATAAGTATATTTCTTTTTTCAGTTTGTTCAATTTCACCCTAATTCAAATTATGTAGCAACGGGCTCTAGTGACAGAACAGTCCGCGTCTGGGATTGTTTGACTGGAACGCAAGTTCGAATTATGACAGGGCATAAGGTAATCCATTACTATGTTTTCTTAAAGATGAGTCAATATATAATGTTTAAAGAAAAATTAATACACTTGATCATGTGATTCGTGTTATGTCGGTAGTTAGAAAAAGTTACGTCAATTTATTTTAACCACATGGTGTGAATTTTTGATACTTATTTTTAACCCAAGGAGATAAAATGTTAGGGTGAAATGTAGCATTAGGATTCTGATTCATATATCTATATATAAACGATCACGATTATTTTTATAGTAAGTACGAGGACTTTAAAACAAATACTATAATCTGTAATTCAGTCTTTTAAACATGGATTCAAAATTTAATGCCACTTCACATCTGAACACTTTCGGTGTTTTTTCCCGGAAACTACAATAACAAGTGTAGTGTTCTCTTATTTGTTGTATAAGTCTTATATCTCTCAGTTCAAGGGTGCAATCTCTTTATTCAACGGACCAATTATTAAAATTTTTTGAGGGCCACTCTAAAGTTATTAACAAAGTATAAAACTTCATTTATAATAATAAAAAATGTAAAGATTATCTATACTAATTTTAATTTAAACGTTGATATTGTATGTTTGAACAAGACGCCGGTGAGTTAATGACTATAACTTGTCACAAAAAATATTTCGGTTTAGTATGTACTATCATTTTATTATAATCAATTTATAACAATATATATTGATGGGAGAAAGTAGAAAAAATAAATAATATCATAAAATGCTTGAGGGCCCATAATAATAAATATGTTTAACGAGCCGCCTGTTGCTCATGGTTCTCCTAGTATATTAATTGTTATCTCCATAATATCGGCTCCTTATCTAAATCCTTGTTAAAATCCACGTCTTAACTACGTGTCTACACAGGGAATATTCCCCACTCACGCGTCACGGTTCGCATGCGCCCGGCGCGGGACAACAATTGAATAAACTGTATAATGCTATTGTAACATTAGTATATTATATTAAACTGTCGTACACTACAATAACAACAAGTCTAATGAATAGTGTATTTTTTCAGTCCCCGATATTTGTTTTGACATTTTCCGTTTGTGGGCGATGGTTGGCGTCTGGGGGAGGTGGCGGTGAACTGATAATTTGGGACATATCAACCGGATTACCAGCTGCAAATTTGCCGCCTGCTCACACAGCACCTATTCACGCATTGGCCTTCAGTCGTGATGGCACAATCCTAGCAAGCGGTATATAATATGATCTATAATAAATACTACAACACAAAAATAGAAATTATACTACAAATAAATAGAAATTATAGTTAATTTTATTAGCTTTAGTATAACCGTATAGTTACAGATTATAGTCATAGTATGCGCTACAATCGCTTTGCTGTACCCCCACATTATAATTTGTTATGGATTAATAAGATATTTTAGAAACAATGTGATTATTATGCATTTGATTTTTGTTGGCAGCATATGAATGATATTAAATTAATACGTTTGTATTTGACCCATTGACTTAGAATAAATATATTTATCAGAGTTACAATAAATAATATAAATTATTATGAACTCATTTTATACTGCGATGATAAAAAAGCCTACTAAGTTAATAATGTATTTTTCTACAGGGTCGTTGGATTGCAGTATTAAGTTGTGGGACTTCACTGCTGTTACAGAAGAAGTGTCTGTAGATGAAATTGGAAACAATAGTACTGTCCAAAGAGATGATAGATTTTTATTACGTTCATTTCCTACGAAGAACTCACCTATAAAAGATTTACATTTTACACGTCGCAATCTCCTATTAGCTGTAGGTTCATACGATGGAAGTTCATAATCGAATAATTTATTAGTTTTATTACATTTTATTATTTTAATATTAGACTAAAATGAAGTTGAAATTTCTTTCAGTACAGTATTCTATCATAACTATGTACGGGAGTTAAATCCGCACTTAGAGCGAGGTGAGATTATGTAACGAACGTGCAGTACTCGCCCTATTAAAAACTTCGAAGTGTAATATTGTAAGTTCATTTAATCCCTGTACATAGTTATAAACAATATTAGTGCAAAAAATAAACATAACTTTAAAAATACTTTTATTCTATTAATGTTTTCAGAGTACTTAAGTTGATTCAATTAATTTTTAAGAATAATTACATAATTGCTAGTTAAATTTTGTTTTACTTCTCCATTGCCCCGGCATCGACTTAGGTGACAACCCCGGCTAACTGGATTTAAACCTTTTAACTAATTATAACTTATGCATATCTAATATCAAATAATTATATAGTTATTTGCAAAGCCAAGCTCCGAGAAACTGTCTACACTTATTATGATGTGTCTATAGGTTAATGTGATTTTTAGATATGATCATATACTATAATTTTTATTACATCAAATTAGTCAATCACATATTTATACCAATGTAGCAGGATATTTACATTTATAAATAAATACATAATTAGAATGAATTTTCTTTTATTATTAGATTATTTATATTTGAAGAAGGTATGGTCTTTCAGATGTTATGAATTGTATCATCAAATTGAGTATAGATTCATTACTTCTGGCCACTTGTGCTTTCATAGCTTGTTTAAAATCTTCTTTAACTCCTTTATCAGCACCACGCGTCCCAATTCGTCTTTGGCCAAGATGTTGCTGAGAATTAGGGAGTATGTCCAATGCAATATTATTGCTATTTTCATTCCAAATGTAACTAAGTTCTTCCAATATATCTATGTGTACAATATATGCTGAAAATAAATGATAATGGAATACACCTTTCTGTCTTATTATATCCAATATTTGAAGAAATATTCCTTCCTCTTGGGGCCAACCCAACTGAATTAATACCAGTATGTGGCCAATTGTTAAATCAGAATTATTGCCAGTACTCAATAGAATTCGTATAAGTAGAGTACAAAAATAATGCACTATAGCCACTTTTGTCATAGGCAAGAAATGCAAGTGTCTATGTTTGCCTCCAACTATCAAATCTGATTCCAATACCCCTTCTATTGGCGGTAATTGTGGCAATGCTGCTAATATATTCTCAATACAAGCTGAATACTTTTTCTGAGAGTAATTTATAGACACTCTCACAATACAAGCTGAAAGTGCAGTTGATGTGGGAGGTAGTGACATCTCGTCATACTGTCCCCTATATAGTGTCAATTCATCAATAAAACCTTCAGACCAAGGTTTAACTTGCAGTTGATTAACTAATTTTGTAAATTCACGTGATATAATGTCATCACTATGTAACAATTCCCAACAATTTGCAGCTGCCTGAAACTGATGAGCCGATACACCTGTAACTTCCACATCACCCTTTCTTCGTTTGGATGGAGGCAACTCTGGGTCTGACAGTGCTTCTATTAAAATATGATTCCCCTTCAGAGTTCTTTGTTCATACAAAGACCTCAAAAATAATGTTACACCACAGTACAATAACTGACGACAGTCTTCACAGTTTCGTAAGGTTACTAATTTCTGAAAATAAGTTTCTTTATTGAGACTATTATTGTAGTTAATGAGAAATGGATCCCATCCTAATTGCCTTCCAAGCAAGTCCAAAACTCCGTAAAGTCGCTGCCAGGGATCTGTTATATCATGTTCTGTCTCATCATACACATATGAATTATAAAAGTCAATAGCCTTTACTAATAACCGTTGAAGTAATCTTGGTGATTCTAGAGAACTCAGTAAGGGTAAGGTCTCTACAACTAGCAAACGTGTATACCGGTTGTCATAGAAAAATTTTTCAGAATTTATCATAGTTTTAACAAGACTGTCAACTCCTAACTGTGGGAATTTTTTCAGTAATAAAACCAATAATCTACAATGCTCCATAGTATCATCACTGTTTTCAACACTTGTTTTTAAAATTGTGAGTTGGATATCAGGACTGATATTGTCAAACATTTGACTTAAGAAATTTATATCAGTTGATTTAAGAGCATTTGCAATTGCTGATATTTCAGGCAATAAATCAGGCATATTCTGTCTTGACAACATCAGTGAACTGAAACATTCTGCTGCTTCTTGAACATTACCGGATTGCTTTTCCATTACATACGCCTCAAATTGTATTTTGAAATTAGAAGGAAATAATGTTTTTGCTGTCAGCATCCATGCCTTTGCAGAATGTATATTGTATTTTTGAGCTTCTTTAGCTCTTGTAATAATGTAATCTTCATCACTTAAGGATGCGTCGATTGCCGGCATCGTATTGTAGTTCATATACTTATATGAAATTAATAGTTGCACTTAATCTATATTAATTGAATTGTAACTATTTCTGTCGAAATGTTTTAGGTATAAATATTTTTATAAACAATAAATGAAAATGGATTGATAACTGATAAGACTGACGGAATGACGTCAATCAGATGACCGACTTGCTTTTCATATACGTAATGTACACGGCTGTATGGGCTTAGACTCTTTGCCTTTCCATTAAGGATAAATATAACAAAAAAAAATACGTAATGTACGTATATAATATGATATAATACAAACGATAAAATCTTTGTTTACCTTTTATGTAGGTTTCATTGGAACGGAGTATATTTAAAATAAAAAAAATTAAGTAATGTATCATTTATAATATAAATGGAAAAGTTTGTTTTATGGATTTTTATAAGTTACTATACTGTGTGCGATGTAGCCTGTAGCATGGTCCGGGTGCCAGTTACTAATTTTACATTTAATAATTGCTACATATAAGTTAATACAGTTATTAACGATTTAATATATTACGAATGTGATATAGCTGAAATACTAAACATAATTTGTAAATCGCGGCAACTTTTAAGAGTGAATCGAAACGTTAATGAAACTGTTACCTGCACCATGCTACTGCGCACACGGTATAACGTATTAAAATCTACCGCTTCTGATATGATTGATCGATTGAAAAACGGCTCGTTTTGATAAATAGTTTATTTAGTGAATATAATATTACGTGACATAGGTACAATATACATTATTTATATTATTAACTTGGTCTTAACTCACGGTATCCGTACATTGACTGTTGATGCTTCTGAATTTTGTTTGAATTTATTTATAGCTGGATTCCACGCAGAAGATAATTTTAAGCCATCCTCTCTGATGACCTGATCTTACGCTTATCTATCGTGCACTGGTGCTCCACGAGCATAAACCTACTATTAGCGTAGGCGGGTGCACCATACCATTATGCAACATTCTAACATCATATTACATAAGTATATAGGGACTGGTAATAGTGCTATAGATATAGGGTATAATTTTAAATGAAAATCCTGTGTTGTACGAGTTTCATTTATTTTGCGCTTCGGGACTTGTTTACAAAATGACTGATAAGCACATAATAATTAAAGGTAATTACGGTTCTAATTACTTATCTTAACGATACGGATTCACTAGGCACAGGTATGTAGGTAACTAACTACTACAGTTTAATACTGACTATATAGATGAAAAGATTTGTAATATTAAAGTAGCTAGACAATCTGATATTAAAATAAGGTAAGTAGGTACAAACTTACTAACTGTATATCAGATTTTGGACTAAAATACATATTTTGAGCAGGTATCTAATTTCGGCGGTTTAGCGGTTTAGCACACCGTTTTCTTTTCGATGGTTGCGGGTTTAATTCCTCGCACGTTTCGAACATTTGTGTTGTATGGTTGTTTGTATTAGTCTAGGTGTTTTCTATATATATAAATCAGATGATAAGGAGGTGATGCCGTTTGATACAGACCTAATTCCTTGATACGATACGATATACAGCTGCAGATTCTGCAGATTCGGAGTATATTTTTTGTAATATGCTGTTTTTGAATGATACTCAAGGGAAACAGGGATTAAGTGCCTCATGTGTGGGCTCTGGATACATAATGATTGCGTTAGCCCAGAGATTTATACCTGGATTGACGATTTTTGTACATAATTTGAGTTGCTTTCTATATTATACCCAACTTTATGAGAGTCTCTTAAAAGTTAAGGTTAATTTTTGATATTGATTATGGTATTCCATATTTGGTCACCTATTCCTTATATGGGTACCTTTATTGCTATTTAGTTTTTGAGATTTTTTCTTACCCCAAAGTAATCAATATAACCTAATATTTTCACAAATTAAGTACAAATATATGACTGTTAATAATTACCACAAAAAGTTTTTTTTTATAAGATTTGTGGAATTTATGCCTAAAAATCAAAATGGTATTCCGTATTTGGTCACTTTCGTCTACTATTATACCTCTGTATATATTTTTATAGTGTTTACCTACCTACATTTACAGTAAAAGATTAGTAAAAATAAGTGTTTACATATTAAGTTTTATTCAGGATCTACACCATGTGCACTGTAGCATGGAGCGGGCGACAGTTTGATTCACGTTTCGTTTCACTCTTAAAACTTGTCGCGATTTACAAATTAGGTACTTAGTATTTCAGCTGTACTACATTCGTAATATATTAAATCATTAATAACTGTATTAACTTACATGTACTAATTATTAAATGTAACATTAGTAGCTGTCACCCGCACCATGCTACAGCGCACCCAGTATAATTATAATGATGGAGTAACAGTTGTTAATTTATGTAGCATCATAACAAATAGGTCATACAGGTTGTAGGTAGGTATACTGTTGATAATGAAGATAAGAAAAAACTTTTTAAATGCTAAATCAAGAGGTAACTGCCTAAGTAGATATATGAATTGTTGTCATTTCAAGTTAGATATTAGGTATGTTCTAGAATACCTACTCAAATGTTCTTTACTTTATTTTGTGGGTAAGTAAGCACTTCTCCTGAAAAGTCTTCGAGAAGTTGAACATTACCTACCTATAAGTATATAAATATTTAAACTAAGTAATTAAAACTTGAGCTCATTAATTTGCTTGCTATCGTGGGAAACATCTCGAACAAAATAATAATAATTGTTATTATATAAATATTACTAGTACAAAATAAATAATAAACTAATTTTTGCACATAATAATAGAAAAATCGTTAAGCAAAAACTGTCTGTTTGTCAGTTTGTGTGTTAATGTTTCATTCTACCGACAGAAAGAATTAGGATATAATTAGAATATGTTGTTATATGAAGATGGCTGAAGAAGGCTAAAGAAAGATGAGAAACATAGATAGATTGTCAAATCGGGGAAGAATAAATTTTGAAAATATTTGTATTCTAATACGCCACTTATAATTTCATTAATTAAATGATAGATGTCGTTGTCTAGATGCTTTATTTATTGTTTTCATTCGAGCTACGTGTACGGAGTCGCGGGCTCCACTAGTAGTACCTTATATAGACAATTGAACTTGAACTGTAGATGATTTTGAATCTCCATAAAATTGTGCAGGTCTGGTCGTAGGTATCAGAATTATGGTCAAGTTGTTTGCCTGCATCTATAGCTACTATACCTACTTATATTATTATGTTTAACATCAATGCGATATGTATTAGGTGACCGTCGTCCGTTGCACCGAAATATGAAGAAAATTACCTTTGGCAAAATATGTTATAAGTGCTATGAACACTGAAAACATTTTTATTAATAATAAACACATCTTAAGATAGAATGTAAGATTGTTATTAGTCTTATGTATTATCCAAAATTGTATTAAACATACACTAAATTACTTTGAAATTTTGTCAGTCTTAAGATCCGTCTATTATTACCAATGTAATAATAAAGTTATTTAATTTACTAATGTATAGATATATTTCGGTTTAAGGATATATAGATAATATTTATTAAAACACGTCTTAATATATTCAACATATCTTAGGTAATCTAATTCTACAATTCACTCTACTTTTGGTCGTCAATACATAAAGCTAGTAATTAGCAAGGTGGGTATATAGATATATAACTTATTGTAACACTTTTCTATTTAATGACAAAAAGTCATCCAAAGGGTATGTCGATACATTACAAAGAGTTCAATTCAATCTCTTCAAATATTTTTTAACTTTCATAAAATTTTAAAATATAACCACAATTGTCTAATTATTTTACTGAATATAACGAATGTATTTTCTTACTTAACAATATACCCACTAATATTTTACTAATAAACGTCGAACATTAATACAATATTTTAATTAATTTCGTCAAAAACTAAATATCGGGAAATAGCTACTCATCTATAGGTATCTATATACTTATCTATGACATGTTATTCTAAATAATTAAAGCTTGGAATACATGTAAACAGTCACAAATGTCGTACTTAGTCGCATTATCGCACATACGTAGTAGGCATTATGCTTGCATATTAGAATACCTGCGTACAGGTAGGTACATAACAGTTAATAAGTCCTTTTTCTCAGATTGTACAGATTTGATTAGATCTTTATAGGTACCTAGTTACACAAATCCCAGTAGGTATTAAGTATACCTAACGCCAGGAATGAGGCTTATCATTCAGTCAAATTCATATGTTAGAATCTTTATTTTAAATACTTATATGTAAGTAGATAAATATATTATATGGCCATGCAGCTATATAAAAAGCATAAATGGAAATACCTACCTTAATCAGAAATTTCCATAAACGCATACAAAACTTAACTGGATGAAATTAGCGGTAGTGGCAATCCTGTTTTGTAATTTATAGGCATTAAAGAGTATTTATATTACACCTATATGTTTCCTACATATAGGTGTACCAACAGATTAAAAATTTCTTATTATATATGCCTATAATGCCCTATATATGCCCTAATTTATATATGCCTAAGTATTTATCTATAATATAAAATTAATATTATCCTATATTACTTATTATTTTGTAATTGCACAAATTCCTACTTTTTAATATTTTTGTTACAAAACAGTAAGAGTAAAATTTGTCTACACTTATTATTCGGCCTGCCGTAAAAGATAAAAAAAATGTATTTTAAGAGTGTGAATGTCCGCTAACAATTGACTTTTTTATTATTTTCCAAATATTTAAAAACGTAGGTAGTACTATTATTGTTATGAATTAAAGAGACTTGATATGTACTTATATGTATAAGAGGCGGTCTCTAAAAGCTAATGTTCATCGAGAATGGAAAAAAGTTAATGACGAATAATAATAACAGTAAGTAGGTACTCATACTTAAAACACTGTTTGTGTTTTAGTTCAGTGGTTGACTCAAGGAGGGCACAGTCATTAGGTACTTTGCTAATCTATCTATTATTGTAATAAATTATCCACCCTAAAAAACTTCAAAATAAAATCAAAATTAAAAAAAAATCTATATAAACATGGAAAACTATCAATTATATTTACGTTTATACCGCAAACGTTGTTTTGCCATATAAATTAAAATTGTTAATAAAAATTGAGGTTGGTGGTGAACATTTAGGTTTGTATGTATTTTTAATACAACATGTAAAAAAAAATTGTCCAAAAAGTAAAAAAAGCCGTTTCGGAACAGTATGGTAACTAATATTTTGACATGAAAATGTTATGTATAAGATATAGATTCACTAAAGACTGTGTTCCCTTTAGTGCTTCTAAAATAGATATTCATATACTTTAGGGCATTTTAAGAATCGAATGTAATGTAATGTATTTATATTATGTATATCATATATTTTAACATTTTTATTGTTACTAAGTAATACTCAAAGTATTCTTATTACCTACTGGACATCCCATATGCAATCTGTACAATACTTCTAAATTGACCAAATTGATTTTTAAGGGATCGTAATGATATAATAGTACTAGTCTAAAGGTCTTGACTGGAACAGTTGTGAGCATCCAGAACCCGTGGTGGCACCTCCTCATAGGGAATAACGTGTGCTGCAGCCATCTCTTGAGCCACACGTTCAGCTGCGCTAAGCACTCGGAGTAAATTCAGTCCAGCCAATTTACGTAGCTCTTCTATACTCCAACCTTCTTCCATCAGTTCAGCAAACAGCAGCGGATAGGAGGAAACGTCCTCTAGTCCTTGTGGAGTGCTGTTGATTAATTTTATAGAATATATGATTAGAGATCGACCAATTCTTTGAAATCACAACGTTCTTTTGATTATTAACCATCGTTAAGTTAGTTCATGTACAGCAGGTTCATACTTCTTGATTAAGGTATTGGGGCCTCGAAATCAACGAAATTAATTAACGGAATTATTAATCTTAGATTTTTTGTCTGTTTGTCCGGACATGTGTGCGCCCAAATCTTAAAAACGGTTATACCAATTTGAATGCGGTGTACACAATTGTACGGTGGAAAGCTGTAGTTAAAATTGTTGTAAGAGAACAAAAATATTATAAGAAGTAGTCGGTTCAGCTAACTAGGAAATATATTAAATTCAATATTTTAAAGGTAATGCTTTACGGTGTTAAGTCCCGCCACATACACCTTTATTTTTGTATTTGTGCATTAAAGTTTTAATAAATAAATAAATATATAATAAATACACGATTTACGACTAAAATTAAAACCAAATCACACTGAAGTTTCATTTAAAGTTAAATAATCACGAACATAAAACAAAACAAAACCACAAACATATGTTTTTATTAGCTACAAATAGTACTTACTAGTTAATTCCGTCGTAACCGGCACCTAGACCGACGCTATCCACTCCAGCTACGTCGCGAATATGATTTATATGTGCTGGAATAAAAGGCGATGGTATTGTATGTTATAGTTAAAAAATTAATAATTTAGTTCAAGTGGTGATTTTATTGTTTCTTGCAATGCTAGTTCGATAACTTCGGTAGTGTAGCGGTTCACTGCATCGCCTTACTTCCGATGATCGAGGGTTCGATTCATCGCGCGATATTATCTGTATTGATCTGGGTATTTTTAATATATAATATAATATTTTTTATACAACTATTTAATTATTTCTATTAGTCGGTTAATTAATATCCATTGTACAAGGTCTGCCTAGTTTGAGACTTGTTTTGGGTGACTATAGTATATATACAGAGCAATGTGCTAGGATTGCAATACTATTGAGGTAATAAAGTTTAAAATATTATATAATAAAACAAATCTTTTTGGAATGGAAATTAATCTGTTTGTAGGCTAAAAATGACAATATACTTGATGGTGTCCCTTTTATGGCCTTATTGTAGATTTAGCTACGTATCTCTTTTTTAGTAGGTATAATCTACAAATATTTAAGATCTCTTTTATGTACTTTTGATCCGACTGTGTCAAAGTAGGTACTCCTAAATCAATAATGCCACTGAATATCTTTACCTAGTCGTGTCCGATATTTTCATCAATTGATATCGGCTAAGTTGATGTGCCTACAGGATGGAAGTAAGCAAAGTATAAAAATAATATGTGTGATACATTTTATTTTTGTACTTTGACGTTTGTTTGTGGCGATTACCATTTAGGTGGGTGGATAGCTTGATTGCTCTTCCTGTATGTACCTATGAGTAGTTACATATAAAGAAAACTTATAAAAATACAACAACTTACCTATGGCATCTTGAACCGTAGCTGTTTCTTTGCAAGTGAGAAAAGACGTGTAGAAATTAACCATGATGAGACCTTTATTGGCTGCCAAGAGTCTCAGCACAGTGTCCGGCACGTTTCGTGTGACGTTGCAGAGAGCACGAGCCGAGGAATGTGAGAAGAGCACGGGCGCTCGCGAGACCGCCAAAGCGTCCCGCATTGTACGTTCGGAAACATGTGACAGGTCTACCAGCATACCCAGTCGGTTCATCTCCTTCACCACCACCTATCATCGATAGTGCAATTAGGACATAGAATGTAAACAATTCCGTGAAATACAGTCGAATTGAAGACCTCTCTTATTTTTCCATTGCGTGAAAAATGATATAAGTAACTACAATTTTAGTCCTAATGTATCTATACAGGGATAATAATTGTGTCAATCAATAGTTTTCTCAAATGTGTATTGATATTTTAAAAAACATTGTTATAATCTTCTAAGGGAAACAGGAGATAAGAATATCTGTTGTCTCAGGCAATTCAGGAAAGACTTAATATTTTACGTAGGCGTGACTGTATGACGTACAGTCAGATAGTCTAATTAAAAGTAAGACTTTATAATTTTTCTTACTATTTGAATGTTGCCTATAATTTTAAAAATAATTCAATTTACTCAATTCAAATCATCTATTGAAACTGTTATATTCTAGTTTTATTTACATACATTCTAGTTTGTATTAACATGTCATTTATTATGTTGAACCAGAATGTCTCATTGTTGCGTCGGGTGTAAAAATGTTAATGAATATCAGAAGTCGTCAAAGCGCAGTCGTGTTTTTGTAATTAACTAATATCTTACTATGTCACCACCGCTAGCTGTGTTAGCATTACCATAGGTGTCTATCAGAATTTGTATGCTTTTGTCATAATAACTGAACAATAAAAATTACATTTCGAATTAAGATTTTTGAAATAGCGCGTTTTATCATTTTATGAGTTTACTAAATAAGAACATTGTGTTACATAACATTTTGCAAGTCAACATTATATTTTATTTTACAAGACATGACGATAAGTTTCGCTTTTATAGATAGTATGTATGTATTTACTCTTGAACTCTTGACTATACGTATGAACCCTTATAATATCCAGACGCAGTGGATCCCTTCAAATGCTTCTACACAAACAGCCCTATATTATTCATGCTTGCGTGAATACGATTAGGTACCAGAACCTTTCGTTATTAATTCATATTGAAAAAGTAACCACCAAATCTGAATCTGATTTTGCGTAACAAAAAACACTGTTTTTTTTTTAAAGTAACTATTTGTGTTTTATAAAACAACATGGGAACAAAGGGCGGAGTGACATTTAAGGAAAACAGTATACATAAAATTATATGACATTATATAAAAGTTTAAACGTGAATTATTATTAAACCAAAACATCAAATACTATTAAACATAAATATAAAATTAAAAGAACATATTCCCCATAGTGATACAATATTAAAAAAAGGACAAAAACCTTTGTTCAAGTCGGAAAGGTGAGGATTTAAAAAAACAGTTATCCCTCTTTGAACTCCATATTGCTAATGAATATAGTTTCCGCTGAAAGTAAGTAGGTGGTTACATAAATGTAATGAAAAGAAAAGATATATAAAATAAAAACTGGGAATATTTCACATACCTATTATTTAAACATTTGCGCATATGGGTTTACCTACTTACTTTTATCAAGTACCTAAGGCTCTTGAATATTTTCAACAGCAAGGTACGCGTTTACGTGTTTCTGCGTTACACGCAGTGAGTGTTTTCAACAATAGGAAATATTTCGAAAAGTATCGTTGTAAGAAAACAAAGAACTGCTCGGCGAGCACCGGGTTCATACAAAGCGAAATATTGCGGTGAGACGGGATGTTTATGATTATGGCACACTCCGTCTACTCGGTGTTTCAATGTTTACGGTTTCGTTTATAGGTACTTACTTGTTTCAGTATTGCCTACAACTTTGATCCTCCATGATTTACAAATTCTTAATTTGATTTATTCACTTGCATAAAATATATACCTACGAGAGGATGATTGGTAATGAAATTGTATGTATCTTTAATTTAAATTAAATATATCTAATCTAGTCAAAGGTAACGTTTTCTGACTTACATTATGGTACTTATGTCTGTGAATTCATTTTGGAATAAGTCCCATAATGTCACGATTGACGACTACTATATCTAACGAAATGTTTAGTAATTATCATATCTTTTTCCTCCTGAGTACTTCTTAAGACTAAATAGGTACCTATAGATATTAATTATTTGAAAACACTTACCTACTTAAACAATATTTTATAAGGTAAAGGGTATTCTACCTACAATGCACGACAATAAATTTACTTGCTAATGAGCTACCTTAACATAATCTGTAAAGAGATAACAACTTCTAATCCGGAAGGTCTTGTGAAAGAATTAAGTCAAGATAACTCCGCATAATGAGAGTAAATTAAACTGCAATGTTCGTTCACTTTGTAATTCGGATTCCGAATAGATATCAGCGCACTTTGTAAGTTTCTCGTAATCGAATAACATTTGAGTGGCGGCGATGAGGCAACAATAAAGGATTGTGTAAGGGATAAGGGATTTGTTTGTATACAGTGCAATATAGTTAGGGAAGTTTGGATTACCTTTCCGAAGTGGGTGAGTCCGCCGCGGAGGGAAGGCTCGGGCCGGTCTGCGGAGGCGCACTCGGCCCACGGCGTGTCGCATGTAGAGGTGAGCGTGAGGTAGCGTACGCCGACTTGGTACAGGGTCCGGAGGACCCCAAGGGAACCTCCGATTGCGTGACCGCCTTCGACACCCACCAGTGAACACAGTCGCTGATTGGCATGTGCCGATAATATATCTGTGAAAATGGTTTCGAGTAAATGGCAAATACATAGGCGATTTTTTAATTGAAGGGTAATAATTTTAGGCAGTTTCATATATATAACTAGGATAATAGTAATATATAGCTATTATTTTGTTAAAAATCTGTATACAATTATAGCTGTATTATACAATTTCGCGTATGAGCCGGCAGCGTGTTGTAAATTCCACTGAAATAAATATATAATAATTTACACTTTATTAAATAAACTGTTATAGTAGTTAAGACCTAAGTATTCATTAAAAATAACGAAAGGAAAGGCAATTTCAATCTACAAAACATTCAAGCCAAAGGAAAACTTTTTAAATTAATTTTAACCATTTCACGTTTTTTTATATAATAAAGTCAAAAGACAACGAGTTTCTGATGCAAATTAGTCAGATGCTTTTGTATCGCACTCTTTACCAGATTACAAAAAACTGTTGTATATAATTTATTCCTTTCACAAATGCAAATTGTTAAAATAAATTATTTCATTTAATGAAGATCTCTTGCAATAGTAATTTTACAGATTATTTTCTTTTGTTAATTTTTTCAAGTTCAATTTAATAATAACTACTAATAACTGGATCTTATAGATACAGATGAAAACCATAAATTAACATAATAAATATATATAACAATTGTCTACTTTTATAATAAAATATTTAGTAAAAATATTAAACTAAATTATCAGAATACTAATTTATTGAATCTAAATTATCTGTTTCTTGACCAACACGAAAAATGTGTACACAGATATAAAGAAAATTGTATGATTGAGTAGCTAATGGTGCAATTTGAAACTGGTGTTTATTTGTGTTAAATATAGAGTAAATCGTAATGGGTAGGTTATACAGATAGCCCCTACTAAAAAGAAATTTTTAAAATACAAACCCTCTATCTCATGAATTATTGAGGTTTACTGTGTTATAAAATGTTGATGAATATTAATTACTATAATTTCAGTTTACATCTTGGAGAAAATAGTTCAGTTACATTACATTTACGTTTTAGTATATCTACATATAGTTATATGTATATTATGACTAACCAAGTAGATTTGTACAAAAACCATGTTATAAATTACCTTCGGTAGAAGTGCATATGGTGAGTTGAGGGTGATATTTTTCAGTGAGTCTCTGTATGAGATCTATTTGCTCGAACGTCAGTTGCACGGCGTCGCGGTGCTGCGCGTCGCAGGGCACGTACGCCGCCCAGAACTGATGCAAAACATTACTTTGACATAAGGCTGATTAAATATCACGCACGAGCAGCGCAATGTGTACGAAGAATAAGAAATTTTCATATATGGAAAATTGCTTAAGCTCTTGTAATGGAAAATTCATCTGAGACGTGACGAAACTGTCGCATGTCAGTTTGAAAATTACGCGAGAAATACAAGATTATGATATTGTGTTAGTATTTACGAACATTAGGGGCGTTGGAACTGTATCCATAATCGTTAATTTAATAATTCACAAATTTAAGTTATATAATATGAGATTTAATTAACACCAGAACACAACATTACATATCGAAATAGGAATTAGCAAATTAAGTTTTTTTTATGGATGATGATGAAATGAATGGAAAGATGAGGATGAACTCAGGTCACCTAACAAATTTGGCACAACAGTTGCCAAAATATCTCTAATATTTCTCTATCATAACGGGGATTTGGTTTCGAAAGGTGGGTTAGTAATAAATCAAGATTAGTATAATAGTATTTCGACGATTTGAGTTTGTACAAATATTTTAGTAATTTTCATAGACGGTAATATGAACAGATGTAGTTTATATTTTAACCGATTTGTAATGACTTAAATATTTTAAAGAAAAAAAATCAATTTTTAATTATAGGACTTCTTATCTAGAAATTATGTTACCTGAGCTGCAACTCGCCCTTGCTTTAGTCTTGGTAAATCTGTATGACTCCAAGAACTAGTGGCCCAAGGAGATATAGTTCGTAAATCTTCATCGAATCTGACAACATAATAATTATATTTTATTATTGAGCTTTGTACCACTACTTATTTCCAACTTGATTTACGGTGGCTAAGAATATACAGAATTTAGTGGTTTTTTATTATGTACATGTCAAGTGGTTAAAGTACTTATGTATTTATATATAACAACAATAATATGTTACTATACTATATTCTAGTAGACAGGTTTAGACTTTCATTATCTGTGTATTTTGGTTCATTTACCTAAAATCTTTTATTCTATTATGTAAAAATTTCCGTATATTCCACGGTAAGTCATTGTGTCCATCTATGAGTGGAGTGTCATGTAATAATCTCTCTGCGAGACGCAGCCTCTCGTGTAGAGGTGCTCCTGGTGGAGCTCGAAGTGCAAGTGGTCCCGCGACGCATGCGGTGCCTGCCACCAGCACTAGCACCGCCACACAGCACCATCGCCGGTGCCACACCGAAAAACCTGTTTAACAATGAATATATTCATGGTGTATGTAGAGAGGAGGGACCGAGTAGAGATTGTTTACGTTATTTTATCATCACTAGCAATATACTGGAATATTAATGGCCCCATTGGGCCATTATTATCTAATCATTATTAATAATCTCCTTATCCAATATAGGCGACTTGCAAGTCTGATATGAAATGGTAAGTCTTTAAAAGATTAGAAATAGTGTCATTGTGCATAAAGTAATAGATTCAATGTAGGTCAAGCAATCGGTCGTTACGAGGATGTTACAGAGCTTCCGATAATCTCGCTGTCAAACGCAAAGCTCGATCTTGATCAGGGAAGCAGATGTGCTGTGTGGCTTGTGTGGTTTAAAAAAGATGTAACAAATCCTAACAATCAGTTAAGTTTATATGTAAGCAATTATATGAAATATTGAAACATGTTTTGCAAATAACCATATTATTGTATTACTTAGATTCTACCATAATATCGTGGTGTTCTTTGATAAGAGATACATTTTTTTATTGGATGTACATTCTCGACACTATAAGTACCTACTCGTACTTAGTAGATAGTATAGAACTAATCGCTACCTTGATTCCGTAGGTTTAATAAAAATGTAGTACCTAAATGCCAGATATATTACGTTTGATTTTGATGAAACTTAATAATATTATGATAGTTACAAGATAAAAGACTTCAGTTTTTAAATTTACAAGGAACGTAAATAAGGAATGCTTCATTTAAATATTTAACATTTTCGGATCAAGAAATTCGGATAATTTTCGGCACCAAATTCATTCTATTTTATACTAATACATAACCACACTAAAAAATATCGCTACTTAGATATATAAAGCATGCATAGTAAACTTACGACTTTTACAACGGTAATCTTTGTAAATTGTCTGCGTGGGTGTTCCAGTATGTTAGCTATGTTATCCTATTTCAGCGGCTTACTTAGTAAGCTGTGTTTCAGTTGAAATAAGGCAGTGAAATTACAGGATAAGTGGCGCGATATCTAAGTCCTTCGGAATAGCAACGCATTATCAATGCATGGACATGACATGATAACGTTGTGTCGTTCATATGTTAGTTGATAGTCATATCTGACTACCAGACTGTTTGTCATTGTAATCACATAAAAAATGACTTACGTGAAGAGTTAGCCGTAGTGGTAGAACTGTGGCTGGTTGTGGATGTAGTCCCCGTGGGCAGCCACTGCGGTGATTTACACGCGCTGCACGTCGCCGGCCGCATGCTCTGACTGCGCTCCGTTACGTCAGGTGCTGGGGCGCTGCGTTTCTTCCCCTATCATTTACAAATACAGTAATTACGAGTTTTGAATATATTCCAAGTATTTTATATATTTGTAAAATCGCAAGTCATATCATAGCGCAACAAGTTATGTTCGTTCATTATATAAAATGTATAAATGATGATTATGATTAAAATTAATAAAGGAGTTATTTATAATATAAATAATTTTTAATATATTAGGTAATATTTATTTATTTATATTGCTTTATTGCGTAACATTACAACAATAAGGAAAAAAAAATAAAAGATTGATGAAAGAAACATATACAAAAGAAAACCTTATCGCTAACTAATCTGTTACAGACTACCTTAGGAAAGATAGTATTACCTACTAAATATAAAGTGACACATGAGTGGAATCAAGTTAACAAAAAAAAACACTAATAGGCACAAAAATCTATTATATATATTTATGTAAATTAATCAGAGTTAAGCGTACGTAAGATTTTTTTAATTTCGCCTATTTAAATTCCTGTGTACCTACATCCACACAGGAATGGGTTTTTTAAATATTTTAATACTAATTTAAACAGGCGAAATTAAAAAAATTTTTATATTTTTTACCTAATGTAAAGATAAAGTTATATTTATATGATAGATACTATTCAATTTATTTATATCATGTTGGAATTGTAAATTTCACTACATAACATTTTTAAATGTGTATTTTCAGTAATAATTTAATCATATTTTTTCTATACAATAATGCTTAAACAGGTACAAAATACTACATAACAAATGTCTCTGGTTAAGCTATATTTGAAATGAAACTCTGATTCGTCTCCATCATCCGTTATTTACCTATAAGCGACATTAAAATCTTAAAACAGCCGAGTTTCCACTTTCACTGGAAGTTTGTTGCGTAAAACGAATTGTTTGTTTTACCATTCATTATAAATTAGGGGATGAGGTAAATTGTGCGGATAAATAAAAGGAAAACGTCATGGGAGCGAAAAGATCAAATGGTGCTAACCGAGCATAAGTAGGTGTACCATTTGTTCAAAACTTTTCCACTTTAGCTTAGCAACTTTAAATAACAGGCTGCTTATGAGTCATAGAGACTTTAAGCAAAGTGAAAATATTTTCTGTTAGTTATATATAATTGTGTATTTTGTAATCGTTAATTAATTAATAATAGTCGTAATATTTAAGAAATTTATGTTGTGATTAATTAATTTTTGTTTACGCATAACGACATATTAGAACATCCCTATAAAGTATTATAGAAGCTTAAGAAGTAAGTTATCATAGTGACTTTAGTTATGAGTGATATTATGACTAGTTTGTTGCACGAATTTTAAAGAAAAGATGTGCCTAAAAAAATATGCCTCTACACTATGAACAAATCACATAAATCATTCATGTTCTAGGGATACTGGTTTATTTGCATATGTATATTTTGGCTAGAGTATACGGTAGCAACTAGAAAAATGCCGAAATCCATACCTACTTGTAAATAGTAGTCAAAAGGGAGTCCGTAGGAATGAAATTGTCGTTTATATATATGCTAATAATAACAAGATTTTTTTCTACGGCTTTACCCTGGTGTCCCTGGGTTCTTTACTTAATCTAAGACATTTGACAAGGGTGTTGGTTTAGTGTAAAGTGACTGGGGTCTGGTCTTTTGAAGACTTTTTACACAAAACCAGTTTAAAAGATATTGTCACGGATTTCGTAAATAAGAATTATGCCAATAATTTAAAATACTTCATTAACTTACTCATATACCTACTCACAAAAGACTAACAATTTCAATTAAAATTATTTTTTAGACTTCAGTTTATTTACTCTAAAGAACTTTCATACAACTTAATTTCTAAATAAATGAGGAAGTATTTTAATATGTTCTTTAGAAATCGTTCTGGAATATACTATAAAATTTACGGAGCGAAACAATATAACTAAAATTAAAATTACTGAAATAATGTTCATTTTTAAATTATGCAGCAAACATACCTGTGTATCATAGAAAATAGACGGTATCCTGGTATTCCGGCTCGCATCGCAAGTGCACTGAGCATGTGCAGTACGAGCACCACCCATCATAATTACATCCGCCTCCACAAAGGTTTGTGAATCGTCATCCACAAAATCACTTCGAGTGCTTCTAGATTCAACTGTATTATCTTCACGCGACCAACTCTCTGCACTTCTCTCCTTGAATCGTTCTCTTGGAAAATCATTGTAGGACATTTGTCTTTTTATACTTTTACAACGACTACGGTTATCTAGTGTAGAAAATTTCATCGTCCCTAAACCAGGCGAATTTATAGATGTAAGTTCATCGTTAGTATCAAAACTCCTAATTTTTATCATTTTATGCGATCTTTTACTCATATCTCCACTTACATGGCAATCTCGTAATCTATCAAAACATTGGTCCACATTGCCAGAAAAGTTAGCGTATGTAGAAACATTATTCTTTACATCCTCTTTTGTTTGAAGTCCCGAGGAATAGATACAACTTTGGCTATTTACTCGTCTTTGTGACTTGTCTACTAAAGATAACATTGACAGTTTTTTTAGTGAGCCTGTGGAGCCCGCTGTAATATCGGCAAGTTGTACTGCATTTTGGTGTTTTTTAAGCATCGCTTCTCCACCCATTTTCTTTAAGTTTGAGAGTTTTCTTTTAATTTTTTGTACCAATGTGTTAGTGGGATCGTATGATATTAACTGTTTTGAAATGTAGTTCGAAACGCCGATGGTTTTGCTTTTAGCATGTTTTCTGTCTAAGCTGCGATGTGACCCTATACCTAAATGACTCCGTCCAGTGTCTCGTTTCATTCTTTCTAAATCATAAATGTTAAGTGTGTGTCCTCGTTGTTCTATAGGATCTCGATGAAAATTCAAATAATTATTTTGTTGAACATTACAATTGCAGATTAAATCAAAATCATGTTCTGATATGTGTTTCTCTAGGCATTGCCGCTGGGCTGCTAAAGCGAGACAGGCTTCGCAGTCAACACCTAGTAATAGTTCTAGGCTGGTGTTCCTAATGAAGCCATCACTGAAGGTACGAGATCGGAAATTTGCTGCATGTTGTCCAAGATGAGATTCCCATTCGGGCCCTGAGCCAACGGCTGCAGTATCCGCCCTGCCTGAAACGCTGCTTTCTCCGTCCACCATGGTAGACGCATCTCGATTGACCTGTATAACTCGGGGCTGTCGAAATACACGACTATCACTGCGCACTGAACTTCTCGACGGTGAAGGTGATGGTCGCTTAAAGGTATCGACTTGAATCATTGTAGTGTCTTCCTAGTTCTATATGAAATGACTATGCTAGTACCTGTTGTAAGAGAAGAAAATATAATAAACAGAAGTTCAATAAAATTAAAATGGAAGCTCCTAATGTATTTATTAATTAATACATTGTACGTACATGTACATATTGTTTTACCATTTCTTTCATGAGAGCATAGATATAATAAATTCCACAAATGTAATCTTTGAGAGGAAACGTAAATTTATAAAATTTATATCGAGCTGAGCTTTCTAGTCAGGATAGTGAGAGTACCTAGGGTATAGTGCTCTTTTTATAAAACAGGCTTAGCAGGGCGTGAGTATGATGATGACTACCATATAGGTGCCCTTTCGTACCTATAATAATTCAAAATCCAATTATAATATTCGCGAAACTATGCAATTTCCAAGTACCTAATTGTAAAAAAATAGTTTTAATGTTTAATTATTACTTTTCATTTAATTTATTGGAGTTATCTAGTTTCATGTATAGACATTATTATATACATTATTATTAGATTTCAGATTATTATACCGTACTTATATCAGGTTGAAAAAAAATTAAGCTCTGATAATTGATCTAGGTTAAAAACTAGTTGGATGGAGCTGGCGATAGTGTCACCACTTTTTTAATTTTTTGACTATGCAATACCATATTTCTCTTATTATTGATTTAATATCACAGATATAATAAATTGCCTATTTTTTATTATTATTTATATTCTGTTGTACACTAAAATGTCGACTGTCAACTATAAACATTTACTGAAATTCATATACCGCTGCATAGCAATATATAATATTTCGTTTAGTGTGAGCGCTGCAGGTGTATGAGTAATTATGGTAAAGTAACATATTGGCTAAAATAATCAAATATGTACCTACAGCTACATTTATTTCAGACTACCAATGGTAACAATATTTTATGAGTCGAAGTTGAGAATAAACTTTATTAAAAAAAATAATTTAAATATGTTCAGTTTTGCGCATTTATTGCATAAATCTACGAACAGGGGATACTGAATGGAAAGTAGATGTGACGAAATGAAAATATTTATATTTTTGTAGATTAATAATTTAATAATTTAAAGTGAACAGAATAATTAATAATATATCATTATGTTTCAATGTTATAAAAGGTACTTTGTATAAGAAATAAATATTTGATCCATGAAAACTGGGTAGATAAGACTTCATCATTATAAGGTTCCGTATCAGTTATTTAAATAAGAAACTATTACATAATAACGCAGAATTATTTGACCACTCTAAGTAATATATATATATTTACCTATAGCTGTTCACATAATTTGCATCAATGTACATATTGTAAAATATTATGTAGCCACCGTAGGGCCGGGACGATCTTTGAATATCAATAAGGTTTTAACATTATTTGATTAAAAAGATAAAATAAAAGTAATGATTATTCGAAATGATGGAATATAGCAAGATTATTATAAAATAAAGTAGTCCGGCATTATAAAAATTAACTATCATGTATTACATATCCCATATATTGATCGATACAATAAAAAATAATCTATTGTAGCTTCGACTTACAATACCGGTAAATAAATATTAATACCAAATGTATCAAAGCGCATTACATCAGAATAATCTAGCACCTATTTGAGTAATTAGTTTTTTAGTTGTATTTTTAATTGAAAACAGAGGATTTATATGAACAAAAGTATTGTGCGAATCGTACTTAATTTCTATATTTTAAAAAAGAAAGCATTCACAAATTTATTTTGAACCGGCTTTTTCTGGGAAAATATTAAGAACCAATGACATTGGATTACGCCGTTTCGCATTTTTTTATACTATTAAATTATATACTAGCAATGCAATAATTCCATTCTTAGTCTGTAATAAATTAACAATGGTTTAGTCTTGATTACATTTCAAAAGAACAATACAAGAATGGATTTAAATGAAATCGGTATTTATATTAGACTCAAGAGTAGACCTACAGTTGTAATATTTTACATTCGAGGTATATCACTAAATAGTAGGTACGTAATGATACATTATAGGTACATATCATATAATACCGAGCATAATGCCATATATTGCCATAACAACTAAAACGGGGCTTATATAAAGCAGAGCTTATACCATGGATGTTTAATAATAGACGAATGCATAGTTTTTACAAATATAGGGACTTAACCCAAAAAAAACACCTTGACCATTAAAACAGTTATGCTGATGAACATCAATGTTTTCTTCTTTTTCTGGGATCGAACACGCGGAACAGCTTTAGAACACAGAGCATAATATATAAGTACTATTAGACTTATTGTCTTATACTTGAGTTTATAAATATAATTACCTAATATTAGATTTTAGTACAGTCGAGAATATCAAATAATTAATGATTTTGTGTAATATGGATTAAAAAACAAATTATACAGTTGATAGTCTATAAATGTAATCATTGATAAAAATAAAAATAATTTTATAGGTAAATTACATAGAATATTTATTTAATTGTTTGATATTTGAAGAGAATGATTTAATAAAGATTTATTGCATAGTATACAACCCTCGCACCAAAGGTAGATAAATATAATGCGCGCGCAGGTAAGAAAATATTGTCTTGCCAAATTTTTCAGTCTCATGGCGAGATGTTTCTATGAAAGATACTGTGTATGCATATATTGGAGGGCGAGGAGACTTACGACGGGTAATATGAAAGACCGCGAGCAGACGAGACGGGGCGTCTCGGAGGCGGGCGGGAATAAGCCATTTTTGTTTTATGTTTGTTTTACCGCTATGGAATGACAATACAGCTTTTGTGTTGAGTGTTCATTTCAGTATTCATTATTATCAGATTATTTATATGCTCCGTGAACATGAAAAGCGTTAGGTATAATATAGACTACAGTAGATAGATTCAGTACATTATTCGTGATGTGTGATAGATATTGTCTACGATTGTCATCTATACATCTTTTATTTAGTTTTTCTAAATAATTCTTTTAAGTTTGTATAATGTTTCTTATTATAATTTACATACAATAAGGTTTCATTTGTATACAATTGACAATTTATTGAAATCAGAATGGTTCTGAAACCATTCTCAAATAGATTTCTTAACTAATTAGGCATTTTTCTAACTCCTGTACCAGTATTTACTTTAGAGGAGAGTTGACACAAAGTAAAAAAAAGAAACTTGTCTCTCATATTTTATTTCTGACTGACTGTCAGACAAATGAAACACCTATATATAATAAAATAAAAAAAATATCTAATTAACGGCAATGATTATATCCGATATCCACATTATGTTTATTTAATAAATGTAATGTTAACTTCGATAATTGACTATGCCTATGACTCCTTTATTTGGGAACCAGTCGCATTAGGACGCAGTTCTCTGAAATTATCAACTTTAATTCTAAATTATAGATGGCAGGTATTTCTATATATTGATATAAAAATCAGCAGAAGCCAAATCAATAAATGCCATGCCAGATACAGAAATAGATCATATTATAATTATACTTATTGGCCACACAATGTAATGGTCACGTTTGGCAATAGGGAAACAATTCGGATGTGTACCTACTGGTTTGTAGTTAATATCTACAATACGCAATCAACCATTACTTTAGGAATGACCTGGATCACGAATTACGTTAAATTAATCAATATTTAATTATATAAATACCTCTATAAAGTGGAAATTTCTATAACAATTAAAATATAATATGTTAGATATATGTTTTACAAACACCTTCTCAAGTGAAATAATGTAGGTGTACATAATCGTGTTGCTCTGAAGAGTCTTAATTTGTTCTAAATAGCTATAACAACATAATATTATATTAAATTTAGACAACTCACTTGAAAAGAGAAACAATATTTTACTCTATTATTTTTTTCAAATTAAGAACAATTATATATAAATCTGTTGTACTCAGAAACTTCGTTAATAAATGCCGTATGTTAGTTTAAATCCATGCGCGCCAAATTCAAATATGGAATTTCAATGACCTTCATTTATACGATTGTATATAAATTTTCTTCTTGGAATGGTTAAATAGGTTATAAATATTATTTATTATTGATTAATGTAACGTGTGCACAGTCGTATAGTCATAATTTCGTAATATTGAGGTGACTAGTGTAACTATATTGTTATTTACAGGTCAGTTCTTTATAAATCTACTTAATCTATTACCTATTTCAGTATCTGTGAATTGTAATCTCACTAGACAATATCAGATAAGGTATTCAATTTAAATTTGGGACTATTTTTTCACAATTATATATTGACTAATAAACCTAATTAATTCCTGACACAAATAGAACAATACAAAAATCAAATGGCTAATATATCTATATAGCCGTCGTCTTTACAACGGTTGACTATTTTCTTTTAAATATACCTACTCGATCTCACATTGCGGATTCCCAAACATTAATCATAATAGCAAGCGTCAAAACAATTCCTTAAAGGAAGTATCATATAATGATCATATAAATTAATTCTTCCTTAAAATTCAAATACATTACTGTTGCGGACATCATACAGAAGACCTATGAAAGAAAGAATCATTATATAAGATGCGCGCTTCTACTATTGTCATTTCGATTAAAATCTTAAATAAGTTACAGCCATATAGGTGATCAATATGTAGTTTTTGCTAACTTTTTTGATACCTACATAGTTAGCGAATTCTATTGTAGAATTAACAGTTGAATAAGAACATAAATTAAGTACAAATGGAAATAAACTGAGATACTGCATACCATTACCCACCGGATAACATTAGTTGTAACCTGAACCAGAAATTCCGGAGCGCATTTAAGCCTAGGCACAGGGAAAATGCAATTTACCTACTTCCATAACAGCTTCCTGTACTTTATAACGCGGGTAGGTAAAGTAACTACTTAGATAATATAGGTGGGTGTATTTTTATTGCCTCGTTGCGAGCAAACGAACTGAACCGATTGTGATAAATGAGGTATCGTTAGATACTGTACATTTGTTGCGGACATTATTAATGAAATACAAAGTTTAGCAATTTTATT